CAAGTTGGGCGGGGGGGGAGGGAACATGAAAAAATTTAAATCAAAACCAGGCTCCTCAAGGTGCTAACATCTGAGCCCTGCAGCTCTAGGCCTCTGAGGTGCTGCAGCACAGAGCCTGCCCTGGTACTTCTGAGAAGGGCAGCGATGGCAGTTAACAGCATTGCTGCAGCCAGCATCAACCCTATTTAATAAGCAGTCCAGGGTGCTTTCCAGCATCCCTGAGTCACACAGTTCACAGCCTGCTTAGATTTCATCACCGGAAGCCCAGAGGCCCTCGGTTTGATTTCCCTCCGCCGCCAGCTGCATTAGATGGCTGTGTCTACATTGGGCCACTTATTCTGGAAAATCAGCCACTTTTCCGGAATAAGCTGCGAGCTGTCTACACTGGCCCTTGAATTTCCGGAAAAGCAACGATGCTCTACTGTACAAAATCAGCCGCTATTCCGGAAAAACTATTCTGCTCCCACTTGGGCATAAGTCCTTATTCCGGAACACTGTTCCGGAAAAGGGCCAGTGTAGACAGCCCAGTAGTCTTTTCCGGAAAAAAGCCCCGATCGCGAAAATGGCGATCGGGGCTTTTTTCTGGAAAAGCGCGTCTACATTGGCCACAGACGCTTTTCCGGAAAAAGGGCTTTTCCGGAAAAGCAGCCTGCCAATGTAGACACTCCTTTTCTGGAAAAACTGAAAACGGAATAGTATTCCGTTTCAAGCATTTCCGGAAATTCATGCCAGTGTAGACATAGCCGATGTGTTTAAAGGTAACACGGGCCACTGCTGTGCTCAGGTAGCAGGTCAGCTCCGGCTGTGGCCAGTCAGCACGGCTTGATTTCGAAGAGGCTCTTTCACACGCTCTGTGTCCCCAACTTGCTTTACGGAACCAGAGAACATGGTTATGGAGTGTTAATACCCCCCCACCCCACACACAAATCCCAAACCCAATGAGGAAGAACAGGAGAGGGGACTGCAGAGCGGTTGTATGCTGCTCGCTGAGCCTTTATTCAGCTGGGAGCACCACACCTTTTAAAGAAAAACCAGGGGAGAGAGCTATTTGTTCAGTTGGCACAGATCCCGGTATAAAATGGCTTTCAGAGGTGTATGCATCTTAATGGGCAGCGGATGTTCCAAGCTGGGGATACTAAGAAGCAAGTGGAAATGTCTAGATCAGGGGTGGGGAACCTCAGGCCTGGGGGCTGGATGCAGCCCTGGATCCAGCCCCCAAGGCTCAGGGCTCTCCGCCCCCAGCATTGGGGAGCCCATGCTGGCAGCTCCATACCCCTGTGGGGCTGGAGCACACAAAATCTACTAGCCTGGGCCCCCCAAAGCTCTGGTGTGTGAGGGGAATGTGGGGAGTGTCTCCTTCTCAGTCAGGGACCATGATAGTGAGGGTTTTGGTTGGTTGGTTTGTTTTTTTTGCTTTTGATTTGTGTGGGGCCCCCGGCTGAGTTTTCTGTGGGTCAGTGGCCCCTGACCCAAAAAAGATTCCCTGCTCCCGGTCTAGATCAGCGGTTCTCAAAGTTTAGCAACCTGAGGAAACCCAGTTTGATTTAAAACATTATAGGGACCCTCCTGCCCCTTCACTGATGCCTGGCCCTGCCCCTTCTCTGAGGCCCCACCATGCTTACTCCAGCCTCCCTCCTTGTCACTTGCTCTCACTTCACCCTCATTCAGTTTCACTGGGCTGAGGCAAAGGGTTGGGGTGCAGCAGTGTTAGAGATATGGCTGAGGGAGTGGGCTCTGGGGTGGGGGCCAGGATGAGGAATTTGAGGTGTAGGAGAAAGTTTGGGGTCCCAGCAGTGTTTACTGTGGCCCCCAGGAAGCAGCCGCCAGGTCCCTGTGACTCCTAGCTGCATGAGCAGCCAGGGAGCTGCTGCATGCTGTCCTCCTGCCTATAGGCACTGCCCCAGCATCTCCATTGGTCACGGTTCCTGGCCAATGGGAGCTGTGGAGCTGGCACTCAGGTGAAGGCAGCATGTAGAGCCTCCCAGTCCCTGGCTGTCCCATGCACCTAGCGGCTCGCAGGAACCTGGCAGCCATTTCCAGGAGCTGTGCTGATGCATTGCAGGTAGGACCCCTGCCTTAGCCCCGGGAAGGGGAGGAGTTGATTAATGGGCCCTAGAGGAACCAAAAAGGTCGATGGACATCGATTTGAAAAAAGCTAGTCTAGATTCTTTTTCCCCTCTGCAGAAGGTTGTGCTTTCCACCTCTAAAAGTTACGGGCTCTTTAACGATAGACTGTGACGTAGGGTGGGGAATAATATTGTCAACCACCTCTGACTACAGAAGCCACTAAGGTTACTTAGATCTAAGGTCCAGATTCTCAGAGGTATTTAGGCCACTTACTGGCATTGAAATCAATGGAAATAAGAGGTCTAAATTCTTATGAGGGCCTGGGTCTAAACTCTAGGGCAAAGGTCATCTTTTAGTTCTGTGTTTGTACAGCGCCTTACACAGTGGGGTCCTGCTGCAAGACTAGAACTCCTAGGCACTACAGCAATACAGGTAATACACAGTAATTAATGATGATTATTATTTATTAACAGTCAGCAAGGAAGAGGACCAGGAATTAGGAGATCTCAGTGCTGCAGTGTAAAAATATAATAAGGAAGGCCAAAAAGGAATTTGCAGAATAGCTAGCCAAATCCCCCAAAAGTAATAGCAAAACTTTTTTCAGTACATCAGAAGCAGGAAGCCTGCTATCCAGCCAGTAGGGCCATTGGACAACTAAGAAACTAAAGGAGAACTCAAGGCCGATAAGGTCATTGTGGAGAAACTAAATGAATTTTTTACATTAGTGTTCATGGCTGAGGATACTAGAGAGATTCCCAAACCTGAGCCATTCTTTTTAGGTGGCAAATCTGAGGAAGTGTCCCAGACTGAGGTGTCATTAGAGGAGGTTTTGGAACAAACTGGTAATCTAAACAGTAACAAGTCACCGGGACCAGATGACATTCACCCAAGAGTTCTGAAAGAACACAAAATGTGACATTGTGGAACTATTAATGGTGGTTTTTACCTTATCCTTTAAATCATCTTCCATACCAAATGACTGGAAGATAGCTAATGTGATGCCAATCTTTAAAAGGGGCTCTAGAGGTGATCCTGGCAATTACAGAGTGGTAAGTCTAACGTCAATACTGGGCATATTAGTTGAAACTATAGTAAAGACCAGAATTTTCAGATATATAGATGAACATAAATTGCTGGAGGAAAAGTCAACATGGTTTCTGTCAAGGGAAATCATGCCTTACTGAACTACTAGAGTTCTTTGAGGGTGTCAACAGGCATGTGGACAATGGAGATCCAATGGATATACAGTAGGGCACTTAGATTTCCAGAAAGCCTTTGACAAGGTCCCTCACCCCTCAATAAAGGCTTTTAAGCAAAGTAAAATTATCATGGGATAAGAGGGAAGGTCCTCTCATGGATTGATAACTGGTTAGAAGATAGGAAACAAAGGGTAGGAATAAATGGTCAGTTTTCAGAATGGGGAGAGGTAACTAGCGGTGTCTGTACTGGGACCAATCCTATTCAACCTATTCATAAACGATCTAGAGAAAGGAGTAAACAGTGAGATGGCAACATTTGCAGATGATACTAAATTGCTCAAGATAATTAAGACTAAAACAGAGTGTGAAGAGCTTCAAAAGGATCTAAAAAAATAGATGACTGGGCAACAAAATGACAAATGAATAAATGTTGATAAATGTTGATAAATTAATGTTGATGAATGCAAAGTAATGCACATTGGAAAACATCCCAACTATATGTACAAAATGATGGGGACTAAATTAGCTATTACCACTCAAAAGAGAGATCTTGGGGACATTGTGGATAGTTCTCTGAAAACATCCACTCAAAAAAATCTAGTCAAAAAAGCAAACAGAATGTTAGGAATCAATAAAAAAGATATTGAGACTAAGAGAATATTTTATTGTCTCTCTATAAATCCATGATACGCCCACATCTTAAATATTGTGTACAAATGTGGTCACCTCATCTTAACAAAGATATCTTAGCAATGAAAAAAGTTCAGAAAAAGGTAACAAAAATTATTAGGAGTTTGGAATGGCTGCCATCTGAAGAGAAATTAAAAAGATTGGGACTTTTCAGCTGAGAAAAGAGGAGACTAAGGGAGGATATGATAGAGATCTATAAAATCATGACTGATGTGAAGAAAGTATATAAGGAAAAGTTATTTACTTGTTCCCATAATATCAGAATCAGGGGTCACCAAACGAAATTAATAGGTAGCAAGTTTAAAACAAACAAAAGGATTTATTTCTTCATGCAACGCACAACTTGTGGAACTCCTTGCCAGGGGATGTTGTGATGACTAGGACTTTAACAGGGTTAAAGAACTATATACATTCATGGAGGATAGATCCATTGATACTTATTAACCAAGAAGGGTAAGAACAGTGTCCCTGGTCTCTGTTTGTTAGAGGCTGGGAATAGGTGACAGGGGGTGGATCATTTGATGATTGCCTGTTCTGTTCATTCCCTCTGGGGCACCTGGCATTGAAGACAGGATACTGATCTAGATGGATCTTTGGTCTGACCCAGTATGGCCATACTTATGTTATTCCCACCTCTGCCAAGACTCACTGTGTGACTTCACGCATAATTTCAACTGTGTCTCAGACTGGATACTTACAAGATTTCTGGGCATGGAAGGTAGTATGGCAGGTAGTGGACTGGCCCATTCCAGACTACTGTCCTGTAAGCAATAGGAGAAACTATTTAAAAATTAGGAAGATGTTTTCCAGCACTTGACAGGATTTTCCAAATTTTTCCTCAGAATCCTGCACAGAGTTTAAGAGCTGTGAGGAGGTTTTTCTAGCCAGTTCTCCCACTGATGCAGAATACAGTGGTTCACCCTTCTGAAAACAGCTCTGGGCTATGGATTACTGTGGTTCAGATGTGAAAGGGCATCTGTGATGCCGATGTCAGTAGAATCCAGTTTTAAGGTAAGGGGTACGTTTTATTTACATACCAGTGTCTTACAGAACTACAAATCATTTGAATGTACAGGGATCATCACTTCACCTCAGGGGACAAATAGCCACTTGCTTTCTCTCTGCCCTCACTCAGTTTCATAGAATCATAGAATCCTAGAGCTGGAAGAGACCTCAGGAGTCATGGAGTCCAGCCCCCTGCCCAAGGCAGGATCAATCCCAACTAAATCATCCCAGCCAGGGCTTTGTCAAGCCAGGACTTGAAAACCTCTAGGGATGGAGATTCCACCACCTCCCTAGGGAACCCATCCCAGTGCCTCACCACGGAGTCCGCATTAGCGGGGATTTAAAAATGGCGGTGCCCGGCAAGATGCAAATGAAGCCTGGGATATTTAAATCCCGGGCTTCATTTGCAACTTCGAATACCTACATTAACCACCCTAGTTCAAACTAGGGTGGTAGTGTAGACATACCCTAGATCTGCTGGAAATGCTCCTGCTAATGCACCCCAATGTGCCATTAGCCTTCTTGGCTACAAGGGCACACTGTTCCACCTGGCTGGGGAAGAGGATTGGGGTGTGGGGGAGGAATGGGGGGATCTGGCTGGGGCTACGGGCTCTGGGGTGGGGCACACTGCAGCCATTATAACAGGGCCAGATATATATACAAAGTACCATAAGCAATACAATACCTGGTCTTAGTCTCCCTCCAGGTGGTCTGTGACTCATGCCTAGCAGTGTTTGCCTGGGAGCTTTGCTTGAGAGGAGTCAGTATGAGTAAGGCCAGAGTAGACACTCACCAGATAAATATGGGGATGAGGATCAGGCAGAGTATGAGGACAGGTCTCACCACTTTCCAGCAAGTCATTTCTCCTAGAGTGGAGCAAAAGAGACACATTTCCAGTCCCACCAGCTCTCCGTTGGCCACAGATCAATGGTCAGGCACTGGGCCTTACATGGAGCAGAAGGAGAGACACCTGAAATGCAGCATCTTTAATCTCACGCTTCTAAATCCCCCTCGTCAAAGCCAGGAATCCCAGAGCAGCTGGACTGCATCAGACAGAGGGGCCAACTAGTCTGAAGTCCTGTCGCTGCAGCCATGTCCCCTGGAAAACCTCGGCGTGGCCACAGTGCCCTGCCTACTTCTACTGGAATAGAGTTGTGGAGGGGAGTAATTTCTTCCTGATCACCGCCGCTCACAGGCTCTGTATCCCTGACTCAACCGTAATCAGCTGGAAGGTCAGGCGGCACTGCCGAGGACCAGAGGCTGCTCCGGACAATCAGTCTGCGTTACGCGGTACGTCAGTGTGCTGCCCCCTCTACTAGCCACATTCATCGCTCCTCAACATTGGTGCTGGGTTAATACAATTGGGTGGGAGGCGCCCATGGTATTGGGATCTAGACCTCAGCTGGGGTGCAAAGGGCTGACCCCCTGCCCCACGTGTGGCCCATACCAACTGGATGGAATCTGGGGGCTTGTCCTGGCTGGGTGGGTGAGTAAACCAGCCCTGCCTCCCATCCGGGATGTGGGAGAAAGGGGGACGGGACCTGAGCGAGTCCTTTGGAACACCCCCCATTTCAGAGAGGATAACTCAGGCACATGGAAGGGAACACAAGGCTTCCCCAGAAGAACTCCCACTGGGACCCCCCAGGAGCCTGCAGCCCTGGCCAGTCCCTCATTACAAACATACCCCAAAGAGCACCATGTGTGGGCACCCACAGTGTTTGGTTCCCTCTGCCCCCCTCTCCCCAGGTGGGCTCTGGCATCCCCCTCCCAGCTCCCAGGACACCCCTCTGGGGGTCTGTTCAAAAGGTCCCTGCCGTGCAGATGGCGCTACATCAAGCCACAGAGTGGGGAGTCCCCAACATGCAGCTGGGAGTGGCCGGGGGTTTGTGTGCAAGACACGAGAGAACAATGGGAGCATAATACGGGGGGACTAGAGCGTGGACATGAGGTAGGACCAGGGGCCAGAAACGGGGGGAGACCAGGACTCAGGGGACAGACGAGGTGCAGGATGCAGGGAGGGACTAACATGGGAGGGGAAACGAGGACATGGAGGCTAGAAAACAGGGCAGAGAGCAGATCACGGGGCAGAGGAGGGGATAAGACAGAGTGGGTAGATGGGGCAGGACACTAGAGAAGGTGTCTGAGGGCGGGGGAGGGGCACAAGGGGCCAGCTCAAAGTGCTTTAATGCTTAGGGTGCATCAGCAGGGTGCACACAGACAGCTCGTGCTGGGCGGGTCCCATTCCAACCTGCCAATGAATCTACAGCAACCCCCCCCCAGACAGCTCCCGGTCTTGCCTATGCCTAGAGCAGCCACTGCTGGGGACCAACCGTGACACTACACGGTAGCTGTAGGCAGTGCTTTGATATCACCTGCCCACGCTGCCCTGGGAGCCATCCTGCCCAGGCCCATGGGGGTGGATAAACCACTAGATGGACTCATAGAATCCGAGGGCTGGAAGAGAGCTCAGGGGGTCACCAAGTCCAAACCCCTGCTCAAAGCAGGACCAACCCCAACTAAATCACCCCAGCCAGGGTTTTGTCAAGCTGGGACTTAACCTCTAGGGATGGAGATTCCACCCCCTCCCTAGGGAACCCGTCCCAGTGCTTCCCCACCCTCGTTGGTCCAGACTCCTTGGTCTTTCCCCACTTCTAAGATCATTCCTACAGGACAGAGAGCAAAAAGCTGTCGACATTCCTTTGTCATCCCACACACATTTCTCTCTGCCTCCACAACTCATCTGCGGGCGGGGAGGGGGGGGGAGAACTCTTGCTCAGAAATGGCCCCAATTCCCAATAAAGAAAAACAAGGTGTTTAAAATCCTAATAGGAGCCTGTTTGGCAATTCCAGACTCTTACCTGACTGCTCTGCTGGCCCCCCAGTAGGAGCAACAACAAAAAGATTTTCTCTCCAGCCCTTCTCTCCTTGCAGTTCTCTGACCCGCCTCTTTTGGCCACAGAACACTAAGTGCTACCGCATTGCAGTTTCAGATTTTGTCCCAAAGTCTTAAATAGCCTACTTGAGGATTGAGCTCACACCCCTGGCTTTAAGCAAGCCAATGCTCAAACCACTGACCTAACGGGAATAACAACTACCAGCCAAGAATAAACACTCAAACCAGGATTAATCACAGCACAAGCAGGCTTGTCTCAAGAGCAACACGCCGAGCTGGGAAGTGCTGACAGCCTGGCTGCCCTGGAGAATGACACATTATATTTATCCAGGGGCTATGAGTGTAAATATTTCCCCTCTAGTCCCATTGAGCTTCTGCATGGTAGGGGCAGAGATGAGGGGGCGGAGACGCATAGCAGGCAGTCAGAACATAGGCAAAGTGCTGGGGCTACCAAGTTTGATTACACATTTTCTAGCTTGTTACAGGACTGGGGTTTGTGCTGGTTCTTCTGCAGCCAGGGAGGGAGCATGGGCTGTGTTAGAGCTGCTTAAATTATAGCTACGGGTAGGCTGATGGGGAGTGCAAGGTGAAGCAAAGACTGGGTGCCCTGCCTCCCCCCAGAACAAGGCAGGTGTGCATGCAGAGGCAGAAGAAAACCTTACCTCCCCAGGCCGATTCACGGAGCTGGAGATGATGCAGTGCCAGGGGCAAACACCAGGCAATTTGTACATCCCAGGTGGCTCTGAAGTTCTTTCTAGGGTAGTGCAGTTTGCTTGCTGGCCATCACTCAGGCCAGCCCATAATAATAACCAGGCCCAACCCTGCAACCACAGAGCATTGTGCAAGAGACCAGTTCACGTCAGGAGAGATTCCAGAAGACTGGAAAAGGGCAAACGTAGTGCCCATTTATAAAAAAGGAAATAAGAACAACCCAGGAAACTTCAGACTAGTTAGTTTAACTTCTGTGCCAGGGAAGATAATGGAGTAAGTAATTAAGGAAATCATCTGTAAACACTTGGAAGGTGGCAAGGTGATAGGGAACAGCCAGCATGGATTTGTAAAGAACAAATCCTGTCAAACCAATCTGATAGCTTTCTTTGATAGGATAACGAGTCTTGTGGATAATGGAGAAGCGGTGGATGTGGTATACCGAGACTTTAGTAAGGCGTTTGATATGGTCTTGCATGATATTCTTATCAATAAACTAGGCAAATACAACTTAGATGGGGCTACTATAAGATGGTTGCATAACTGTCTGGATAACCGTACTCAGAGAGTAGTTATTAATGATTCACCATCCTGCTGGAAAGGTATAACAAGTGGGGTTCTGCAGGTGCCTGTTTTGGGACTGTCTCTCTTCAATATCTTCATCAACGATTTAGATATTGGCATAGACAGTATGCTTATTAAGTTTGCAGATACCACCAAGCTGGGAGGGGTTGCAACTGTTCTGGAGAATAGAGTCATAATTCAAAATGATCTGGACAAATTGGAGAAATGGTCTGAGGTAAACTGGATGAAGTTTAATAAAGACAAATGCAAAGTGCTCCACTTAGGAAGGAACAATCAGTTTCATACATACAGAATGGGAAGCGACTGTCTAGGAAGGAGTATGGCAGAAAGGGATCTAGGGGTTATAGTGGAACACAAGCTGAATATGAGTCAGCAATGTGATGCTGTTGCAAAAAAAGCAAACATGATTCTGAGATTCATTAACAGGTGTGTTGTGACTGTTCCAGGCAGTAAATCTACCATACCGTGACTATAACCAGTTCAGTATTTGTCTCCCAGCATGTTGTGTTTGTCAGCATGTGAGAAGCAATGGTGCTATTCTGTCCTCACTCTGTTCTGCTCACCTGCTTGGTGTAGACAAAATAATGGGCCCACATCCCCTTCTATGCTACAAATCATATTAAGGGTAATCCACACTCAAGGGTGTGTTTTACACTTGAATACAATGTCTGTCTAGGGAGGAGGGAGAAACTTGTTCATCTTGGCCTCTGAGGATAGAACAAGAAGCAATGGGCTTAAACTGCAGCAAGGGAGGTTTAGGTTGGACATTAGAAAAAAGTTCCTAACTGTCAGGGTGGTCAAACACTGGAATAAATTGCCCACGGAGGTTGTGGAATCCCCATCTCTGGAGATATTTAAGAGTAGGTTAGATAAATGTCTATCAGGGATGGTCTAGACAGTATTTGATCCTGCCATGAGGGCACGGGAGTGGACTCAATGACCTCTCAAGGTCCCTTCCAGTCCTCATATTCTATGATTCTATGAAGTCAAGAGCAGTGTGGCCAACTCATGTGATTTTAGAACAAGTCTCGCATTTTTCTTAAAGCCTCAGCTCCCACAGTCCTGTGGTGTGAGAAACCTGGATTTCTCGCTCTTTTTTTTTTTTAAAGTAAGTTGGCTCTCTTGATGGCAAAGAAACCTTGAACACATGTGCCACGAAGGACACCAACACACCAAAGCCTTAGGACGAGCTCTAAGGACTTCCCATTTGACAAAGGCTGGTAATGAAAGAGGTGACTCCCCTCCCCCAAAAAGGTCACCCTACAGCCGTGGTGTCCAGGACGCCAGCCACGAGCCACACGTGGCTATTTGGCTGGGTGAATGCAGCTAGTTCACTGAAACAGTAGCCGCTATAGTGGCTTCTGCTTCAGAACTGGTTGGACACCACAGCCCTAGAGTAAAGGAGAAAGTGGCTGCAAGACAGTAGTGGAGTGCAGGCCAGCCTGAGCTTCATAGACCTTGCGGGGTTCTAGGAGCTGGTAGCCAGCAGGAAGCGGTGGGAAGCTCAATTAGCTGGGAGCCAGGTGGCATGAAAAACAGAGGCCAAATGGCCAGAGCAGTGAAACAGGAAGGCTCTGCAGGGCTTTGTGGAGTCCAGTCCTCAGCACCTTCAACTCCCAGGGGCTCTGATGGATAAGAGATGAGGAAGAGGCCTTTCAAACCCATGTGTCATTTTCACAGGACCATCACCGGACTCCCACTGCTATGCGTTAGGCTGTGGGCATTCTCACAGCTCACTGTTGCATTAACAAAGTGTCTGAGCCCCTGAAATCAGAGGCAAAGATCAGCATTACAGGGTCTGCACCTGCCTCTTGTGTGCACCCCTTTTACTCTAGCTAGTAGTGCCTGCAAGCACAGTTATTTCAGGAGGGGGCACCCACCTCTCCTGGATGCCCCCTTTCTCTTAGTTAGGTGTGAGCCTGCTCTTCTTTTTTGGTATTACATCAGGGTGGCACCTACTTCTTCCAAGTACCCCATTCCCCAGCTACTGGCTCTCTTAGCCAAACTTTGGCTGTTTAGCCCTCAGAGTATACAATCCCGAGTTCTTATCATGGCCCTGGAATGGGGCTGTAGCTCTTAGGCTTCTTCCCTGAAGCAATGCCTTCTTCCCCCACCCAGCCAGGGGGGTTTCCAGCAGCCCTCCCCAGGATCATCTTGCAACCAGACAAGCAGGCCCCATCACACTACCCTCATGTGGTCTGGCCAAGTTCTGGACACGGTCCCCCAGGCTCAGCCTGCCCACATTGACCTATTCAAGGACCTACTGGTCTTTTCCCCCAGCCACACATTCTTTGTTCAATCCTCAAGCACCATGCAAGAACAAACTAGTATGCTGGGCTGCAGCTCCTTTTATATGGCCCTCCTGCACTCTGATTGGCTGCTTCCACTGCAGCCACTCTAGCCAGCTTTGGAGGACCTCTCTGCTGCTTCTTTACTGGAGTGAGTGTGGCAGAGCCCTGAAGTGTCCAGCAGGGGGCCTTTGGGCATGCTCTATCCCATCATTGACTTCACTGACACTGGGATTTCACTTCAGCCATGCACGGTCTCCCCTCAGCTCAGTCATCAGGAATTACTCAGTTCCATGCAAGCATTGTGCACCTCCAGAGGTCATATGCAGCACTGGCCTCTACACACTATGTCCTGCCTAGGCTTCCCCTATGCTTTATGAAAAGATGCTTATGAATATGCATAACTGGACAATGCTTTATGCAAAATACTTCTTGTAAGGTATCATTTAAAAAGCTGTAATCTGCTGAGTTGGCATGTTCTATTTGTGTGCATGTACCTTTCCTGTACTTGAAGGTAGAAATATGAACTCATTTTGACTAATCTAGACATGCTAAGTGAGGGCCATTAAGGGTATTTCAGAAACCTGAGGGCTTGTGGATAAGGACAACAATCTGTAAATGCGTTTGGTTTTCCTATGAACCAGACAGGAGGAGAGGCTCACAATCCCCACAAGGACATGTGACCATGTCACCCGATGCTGGAATCCATCTTGAATTTTGTAATTTTTCACAGAGATGTGGGGTAATTGACAAAGGCTCCCCGCCCTAGGGAAATTCTATACAAAGCAAGGGAAGTAAACAATGGATTGCCTTCAGCTGGCTTTACAGACTGACTCCTTACTCTGGAAAAACACCTGGAAACAAAGGACTGTGACGACAAGAGGGGGAGGAGAACTGCTGGACCTAGGTCAGGAAGGATATCTCTGGCCTGACAAGGACTTTATTTATCATAAGAACTAGGCTCAGATATTATGATTTATAACACATTCTCTTAGTGTATTATGTTTAGCTTGCATGTTTTCCTTTCTTTTGTTCAGTAACCTATATTGTTCCCCTTGCTATCTCTGATGGCCATTTAAATCCTATTTTTATACTTAAAATCACTTGTTTATTAATAAACCCAGTGTAAATAATTGTTACCACAGGCAGGGAGCTACAGCTGTGAATATTGCGCTTTCATTGTTAAGGCGAATATTTTATGAGCGTGCTCTGAATAAATTGTATACAGAGTAAGATGGTTTAATCTGGGGTTGTGCACCTGGGTGCTGTGTCAAGTCCCTTTGTCTGAGCCTTCCCAGAGGTGAGCTGAGCTCAGTGTCTGTGTTACTCTGCTGAGGGCAGTGACTTTAACTCTGAGCCATTGTTAGAGGAGACCAAAGGGTCTGGCTGAGCGGGACGGCTGGTCTGGCACTCCAGAGCTCAGTGGTATTTCAGCACATCAAGTGACAGTCTCAAGGGGATCTCTGTGACCAATCCTTTCACAAAGGCATCGCCACCGTCTCCGAGAGCAAGAGGGTCCCCTCAGGGAAAATAATTCAGTCATCGTGGCCCATGCCGCCTTGTCCTCTCTGCTCTGTGGGAGGAAGTTCATTGTGCTTGCGGTGGTAACTTTTCTGAGGTGTCCACTTGTCAATTCAATTGACACCCCACCACTTTCAATAGCTAACCTGGGCAGGGTTAGAACCAGTAACCTGATGATGGAAGTCTCCTCTAGCTCAGTCACCCAGTCCCTCACACGCCTGAGTTTAATACATTGCAAATAAAGCCCAGACAGTGCTCAGGGGTCTCAATGGCAATTTTGTGTGGAAAATTTCACTTAGGCTGTGTCCAGACTCAGGGGTTTTTGTCGGAAAAAGTAGCCTTTTTCCGAAAAAACTTCCCCTGCGTCCAGACTCAAGCCGCGTTCTTTCAAAATTAAATCGAAAGAACGCGGCTTTTCTTTCGATGGCGGTAAACCTCATTTCACGAGGAAGAACGCCTTCTTTCGAAAGTTCCTCTTTCGAAAGAAGGCGTTCTTCAATGTAAATAGGGCTTCTTCGAAAGAGAGCATCCAGACTCACTGGATGCTTTCTTTCGAAAAAGCAAGCTGCTTTTTCGAAAGTTCAACGTGCAGTCTAGACGCTCTCTTTCGAAAGAGGCTTGCAGTCTAGACATAGCCTTAGAAAGTTAAGGCATGCTGGCAGGCAGAGATATTTCCACTGTGCTCCTCACCGGAGCATCTTGAGGGGAACCAGACCTCCAGCACAGGATAAGGGTCCCTCGGGAGGTGGAGTGAACTCTGGAGTGGCCTAGGGGATAGGGCATCAGCATCTGGGGCACAGGATGTGGTTGACTAGAATCAGGGGCGGCCCTAGACTAGCTGCCAGCAACTGGTGCCCTAGGTGAACCATGCAATCGGCACCCCCACCTCCAAACCCCTCAATGATATTGCGCCACCATTTGGTGCCCCATTTAACTTGGTGCCCTAGGCGACCACCTAGTTCGCCTATATGGATGGGCTGCCCCTGACTAGAGTCCCCGGCCCCCACTCCACCCACTCAGGCAGCTCCTGGACAGCCAACACAGGCTGCCCCAGGGATCAAGCTGTCTCCCATATCAGGAAGGCAAGATAAGGGATGCCCTGAAGGTGAGGTGAGGTGGGGCTGTGTTCTTGAGTGGACTAGGGGATAGGACATTTACCTGGAGAGCACAGGGTGGTTGGCTTGAGCCCAGCCCACCCTGGGAGCTGTTGGTTAGCCAGTACAGGCTGCCCCAGGGATAAAGCTGGCTCTTGCATTAGGATGGAAATAAAACTACCGTGTGTCTGACTAGCTGACTGAACATACTGTGAAAAAGCATGTTGTTATATGTGCAGTGAAGACTTTAGCTTATGACTTTTGCAGTAAATGTTTATATCCCACTCACAATATTATGCAATAACTCCCTGCCCTTTTCCCCTTGCAGTATTACATAGTAACACAGTCAGATCGTCAGGCCAGATTCCCAGCTCAGTTAGAATCCTAGAATAGTAGGACTGGAAGGGACCTCCAGAGTCACACGGGAAAGCTGACCAGAAGCAATCAAGAGAGCAATTGAGGGAACAAAAGGTCAGGCACTAAGTCCCAACTGCCACAGCAGCTGAAATTGAAACTGCAGTCAGCAGTAATCAGAATCAGAATTCAACAAATAACATTCAAACAGTTGAGCAAACTCACTCACACCAAAAGCAAGTACTCTCACTCTCACCAGGTAGCCTGTTCAGCGGTGGGATCTCTTGCGGTCCCTCTCAAACCCCCCTGTCTGCAGCCCCCTCTCCGCTTTCAGACTTCTACAAGTGTCTGTTAGGTTACGTCTACAAGCAGAGCTATTTTGGAACTATCCCAAAATAGCTATTCTGTGTCTTCAGAGCAAGCCCATTATATCAGAATACAACAGGCTCACTATTCCGACTTCCTTATAAAGCTCATTACACGAGCATTAAGGGATGTTTCGGAATAGTGCCTTATTTCAAAATTTGGTGCTGTGTAGACAGCACCAAATTTCGAAATAAGCTATTTGAAATAACATCGAAATAAGGTATGCAATTTTCATAGTGCAAATTGCATAGCTTATTTCAAAGTATGGGTGCTGTGTAGACATATCCTTACTCTGAATCTGGAGTATCCTCATTGAGGGGAGTTCCTTCTGATTTGAACTGGAGTGAGCAGAGCTCAGAAACTGGCCCACTCTGTGTGAAAAAATTCCCCATCTCGTTCATACTGTTAGGGCCAAAGGGACAGCAAAACTCAATACCAAGGAAAGTGAAAACAATCTGGGGGAAGTTGTAGTTGATACAATATTCTAACACCAGCTTCCAAAGGGACAGAACAATAGCGAACACCTCTTTCATTACGAGTGGTCCTATGGACTTTAGAGACTAACCAGACTGCCTTTTCTTGTCCCCTCCTTCCCAATTTTCCCTTCTTCCACCCCCTCTCCCATCTCCTCTATTTATTTTGGTCCTAGACATCCAACACTCTGGTCATTTGGAGAAGTAGGCTGTGCCCACAAAAGCTCATGATACCATCTACATGTTTTGTTAGTCTATAAAGTGCTACCAGACTATTTGTTCTTTTTTCAGACTATATAGAATCATGAGTTTTCATTGTTAACATTTTTTAACTCTTTCATCGTTGCTCAGGTTTGCTTTGCTTCAAGAGGTTTTTTTTCCTGGTAAATTAACCTGTATGTTACATCCAGACCAAAATGATACACGCACCCCCACCCATCATCTCAGAAGGATTTTCTGGTCTCAGAGACATACCTGTTTGCGATGGCTTTCCAGAAAAGATTTTCTTCATAGAACAAGTCCTTCGGGTTTCTGAAAGCGGTGATTAAATAAGGTTTGAATTACACTCTCTTCGGGCAAACAACCAGGATTGGCTATCACGTGGCTGTTTTCACATCTGTGGGAAATTTCCCCACTGGATTCCCTCCTGTAAATGCATTCCCGTCACCGACTGGAACCACGGCACAAGCGCATCCCGTCTTCTCAGAGTTATAAAATTTTACAGTCACGGATCCAGTATCTGGCTTCAGACAGAAGATTCAGTGCTTCTCAGTCTGATTAGTGATGCAATGAGGTAGCTTTGTTTTGGCACGGACAGCATGATTATTCCCTGTACAGCACATTCGTCAAAGCTTTTACTGAGCTAGCAAGCACAAAATTGAATTCCAGTGTTGGGTGTTTATAGTGCCTAATGTTTCCAGGGGGCTATGCTTGAATAAATGAATTAATTAGAAACCTGGGTAAAAGCAGGGGACAGCTTGTGTTCCATGCAGAAAAACTATAAATATGGATGCAGGTGAGTACAGGGAGTGGGAGGGGCTGACCTCCGCTGCCTCCCCATTCCAACCCCCCCCTCAGGAAATCCCTTGGGTTAATCTGGGTCCCCCCACCCCCGCAGGCTCCCATCAATGTGGGGGGCCATCCTGTCTGTAGGATGGTTGGGGTGGCCAAAGTGTGGGATCTCGGGAGGCTGCTCCAAATCATCCCATGGATCTCTGAGGATGTTCTGATTCCATTGTAAGACTCCCAGACTGATTCAGGGGTGCACATTTGCTACTGGCTTGGTGAAATGTAATGACTGAATCTACCACCCGTTTGGGGCATCTGCCCTATTTTCTGCCGGTCTAACCTGAGACTGAAACAAAAAACAGGACTATGTAGCACTTTAAAGACTAACAAGATGGTTTATTAGGTGATGAGAGAGTGGGATGTTTGTGAGTTAATGGTATTACAGGTGATAATTGGGGAAACTGTCTTGGTAATGGGTGAGAAAGTTCAAAGACTTGTTAAGTCCTTGTTGGTAAGTGTCGAATTTTAACATGAATGACAGTTCAGAGGATTCCCTTTCAAGTGCAGATGTAAAAGGTCTTTGTAGCAGAATGCAGGTGGCTAAGTCATTTAGAGAGTGTCCTTTCTGGTTAAAGTGGCAAGAAACTGTTTTCTCTTTGTGATCTTGTCTGATATCTGTTTTGTGGGCATTAATCCTTTGGCGAAGTGTCTGAGATGTTTGTCCAATGTACATAGCAGACGGACACTTTCGGCATATGATAGTATAAATTATATTTCTGGATGCGTAGGAATATGTGTTCTTGATCTTATAACTCACTTGGTTAGGTCCAATAATGGTATCAGCAGAGTGAATATGTGGACAAAGCTGGCAACGGGGTTTGTTGCAAGGGTAAGTACCAGGGTACACCAGACTAACACAGCTACATTTCTATCACTAACCTGAGACTGGCACTCCCAGTTGTGAGTCACTCCAGAGAGCATGACAGGAGCTATGCAGGTTGCCTCTTAATTAGCAATCTACCATCCAACTGTGCTTGGCCAGCCCCTGAGATGCCATTAAAGCAGAACAGTCCGATCTTAGCAAGGATGAAATGTTCAGAAAATGCCTTCCAGGGAACACCTGCTCCTCCAGCAGTGAACAGCTCTTGAACTGGCTGCCTGAACCTAAAGGAGCAAATAGAAATCTTAAAAGAGGGCTTCACCTGCCCCTATGCAAACAGATCCTAATAGGCTTCAGAGGCTCATACAACTGCACCTCCACTAATGTGCTATATGCCATCAAGTGCCAGCAATGCTCCTCTGCCATGTACATTGGCCACCCTGGAGAGTCTCTATTACGACGAAGGATTAATGGACACAAATCAGATGTTCAAAATGGTAACATGCAGAAACCCATTGGGGATCATTTTAACTTGCCCAGGCATCCATTAATGGATTTAATGGTGGCTATTCTCTAAGGCTATGTCTACACTGTGCCTGTTTTGTGCAAGAAATATGCAAATGAGGCTAAGTGTGGAATATCGTCAAGCCTCATTTGTGTAATCAAGGCACCATTTTTTCGCAATAAGCTTTTGCACAAAAACCCCCTCTTGTGCAAGAGCCGTTCTTCCTGAAAAAAATGTTTGGTTAGTCTCTAAGGTGCTGCAGGATCATTGTTATTTTTTAAGATCCTTATAGATTGTGAAATTCAGACCTCTGCATAGGGCCAACATGAAGCTAATACAACACTCGAGCCAGTTTTAAATGGTGTGTAATCCTTGCGCTGCGCCTCAGCATGGGAGTGAATTTCAACCCCATTGAAACCTTAATTCCCACTATTGGAAGCTTGCCCCTAAGGAATCAACTTACTGTATGTGATCCTTCAGAAGGAATGCCAGCAAAAAGAACGACCTCCAAAGCAACTCAAAACTGGCATTTAAGGATTGTTGGGCCACTAAAAAAATAGCTACTAAAGACCAGATGCTAAAGTTACAACTGGGTTATGATGTCAACACCAATGTTTTCTTTAATCTTTTCCATCCATGTGCAGAATAATTTTCATGTGCAGTGAGAAATGTGTACCACCGGTACAACCCACCCCCATCTGTGGGCACTCTGCTAATGAGCTGGGTGGCATTTGAATCTCTCCTGAGTGGCTGCACAAGCACACATCTTACAGGGAGCACTGGTCTACATGGCAAATGGGCATGAGCTTCCCAGCCCAGGTAGACAGATAGATGCTAGCTCAGCTCAGGTTAGTTGGCTAAAAATGACTTTGTGGACATAGGTGCTGGGCAGGCAGAGACTCAACTTAGCCACCAGAGCTTGGATAGAGGGTTTGGATCTACTCTGCTATTTTTAGCATACTAGCTTGCTGAGTAAGTGCAAATCTGTCTGCCGTGCTGGCTGCCAACTGCAGTTTAAAATACCCTTGGAAAATATACCTGGGATTGACTGGCCATGAAAAAAGGGTCTGCAATTGAAAGCTCTCCATTAGCTTAGGTGTGCATGAGTGAACAAACATTTGATCTCACATGGGATATGATGAACATCCCCAGAGGATGAGGAAATCAGCAGCATCTGCCACTGCCAAGGAGCCCATTTCATAACCATGTCAGTGCTGTTAGTGTAGTATCGACTAATGGCAGCCTCCTAAAGAAAGGAAAACTCCTCCTAGGGAATAGGAATAAAAACAAAGGAGAGGCAGTCCTGCAAACAGGTCAGAACTCATTTGCCTGCTTTGAAGCCACAAGCGCTAAACCTCCCCAGCATTTATGAGTGTGATGCTGGCAGACTACGTACCAGCTCATGCCAAGGCTTTTGGCTTCGGCAGAGCCCTGACAAATTCATTGCTAGAAACCAATGTTTTACCTGTGTGTTAGCACGATTATTGAGATGGGTGTGTTGATCTCATAATGTGGCCGGTCCGTTGGGATCAGGAGAACCTGTTCTTATTAGGTGCAGCTGGTTTGAATAATCTCGTCTCTGTATGAGGAGTAGTGCTGCTGATGGCACAGGAAAGCTGAAGTGTCTAAGGCAGTGTTTCTTAAACTTTGTGAGACCACGGAACACCAAACAATAGTATTTTTTACGCAGAACACCTATGAAAATTTTCTTCAAAAAAATTTGCTGTCAGACAAAAAAAGACAAAAACAAAGAAGTATCAAAAACAAAGGAGAGGTCACGGCACACCCACGAGTTGTTCGTGGAATACCAGTGTTCTGTGGAACATAGTTTAAGAAACACTGGTCTAAGGGGATTGCTTGTATGACTTCTTGCTAGCCAGCATGGCAAACAGTAGTTCTCTTAGGCCTGTTCTGCACTAAGATTCAGTCCGAAATTTGCCCCCCAAGGTCAAACTTGTAAGCGATGCAGCCACACTACCAAGCCTGTTATTCTGGAATAAGGGGCCATGGAATTCAAACTCTGTAGTCCTGCTTTTCACAAGGAATAATGCTTTAAGTCCGAAATAATGTTAGTGTGGACTCTCCGGTGTGGCTAGTTCAAACTAATTGGCCTCAGAGTGCTTTGTGGGGCTCTCAGTCCCAGGTAGTGCATCCACATTAAGGGAGCCTGCCTCAGACTGCATTCGCTTCTTCTCCGTAATGAGGACACAGAACCTCGAATTTGTAAAATCAGGTGCTCAGAAGTTGAATGTAGTAAATTTGAGATACTCTTGTAGGGTGTGTTGACACAGCAGGGCTTAGCTCAATTTGTATAGCTTATTTCAAGTTATGTCAATTGCGTAACTTATTTCAAAATAGCTTATTTTGAAATTGGGAGCATCTACACAGCACTTATTTCAAAATAGAGCACTTTTCCTTCGACTTCCCTTACTCATACAATGAGGGCTACAGGAGTCGGAGTAAGAAGTCCTCCAGTTTGACAATATTTTGACATTATTTCAAAATAACTGCCTGCTGTGTAGATGCAGACTAAGTTATTTCAAAATAACATTAGTTATTTTGAAATAATGTTGCTGTATAGACATACCCCTAGTGTAGACATGGCCTTAGGGTATGTCTACACTACAGAGTTGTCAGAAAAACAGATGTTTTTCCGACAAAACTTGAGGAATGTCCACATTGAAGTTGTGGTCTTCTGTAAGAAAATCAAAAGAACAGAGGGGTTTTTCTGGCATTGGTAATCCTCATTCTACGAGGAAGAAGCCTGTTTGCGAAAGAACTCTTTTGCAAAAAGGTGTGTGTGAACAGGGAAGAGGGAGTACTTTCGGAAGAAGAGGAAAGAGGAAAAAGTACAGGTGCCCTGGTGGGCATTCCATCCATAGCAATCACAGCTTAAATGCAAGAGAGCATCCATTCAGTCTAGATGCTCTTTTGCAGTGTGGATGCTCTCTTTCGGTAGAAGTTTTTTCGGAAGATCTCTTCCGAAAAAAGCTTCTTCCAAAGGAAGCCTGTAGTCTAGATGTAGCCTTAGTGACTGTTTGGTGTGCCATCCTCAGTCTTGGACTGTAAGTAGCCCTGTCTTTTGACCCTCTCAGCAGTGCCCCAGAAACCTCCAGCATTACAAGCCTGGCTAGCTCAGTCGGTAGAGCATCAGACTTTTAATCTGAGGGCCCAGGGTTCAAGTCCCTGGTCAGGCAAGAAGGGGCCCTGTGCTCCTCCCTGGGGTTCTTCTGCAAGGCTCTCCTGTCTCTCCTAAAGAGGTTGTGTGTGGTATAATTAGATTTCACCAAACAAGTAACAAATATGAACTTCTAAAGCACTTTAATAGTCTTTGAAGTCACAAACAGTCCCCATGGGCATTCTAGTGTATTTTGCCACCCAGACAAGCTGAGAGTTGTTTGCTATACACCAAAGATTGCAAAATATTCAGGTTGCTCCCAGTCCCAAGAGATCAGTTACTTACCTCAGGTCAATTTGTTACCTTGATCTCACACCAAAGACAACACTGATACATACTCCTACAGTAAATTACCTAAGGGTTTATTAACTAAGAAAAGAAACAATAAAGTTATTACAAGGTTATAGCAGGCAAGCATCTATACACAAATGAGTTACAGTTTATGGTTTCCAAAGGCGACAGTTGCAGCAATCTGTCAGCTCTGAATGACTTTGAGAGTTAACTTGTATCGTAGCACCAGCCCTGGGAGAGTCCAAACAGAAAAACACATTGAAAGTTTTCTTGTCCCCTATTTTGATTTTCTTCTTCCAGAATTCAAGCTGTGGGTCAAGAGACTTTTTTTCAGGTAGCCTTTTCATGGCCATAAGGGAAAATTAGCAACATTTGTCCATTGTGATGCCCCACAGTGGTCCATTTAGCTTTGATAGGCCTGCTTGATGGGCAGGTGAGAATCCCTCCTGACTGGGTTTGCCATTTCAAAGCAAGCATTTTTACACTTAGAAATCAAAAACTTAACTATTACCTTGTGGCATGTGTGAAAGAAATGATAAAATTAAAGCTTGTGGTGACTTACAAGCATTTCATAAAGCCTACATGCTAAACACATCATTCACAGGTCAATTTGTACCTCAGACCTTCCCCAAAAGAGCATGCTGTGCCAATCCTTTAGAAACTAAAATCTAAAGGAGAAAGAAAGAAAGAAAGAAAGAAAGAAAGAAAGAAAGAAAGAAAGAAAGAAAGAAAGAAAGAAAGAAAGAAAGAGTTAGAATTGTTAAAAGAATCAAATACATACACCAATTGCACAGTGGCAGAGATGGAATAAACTGCTGTCATAAAACAAATCTCTGAAATACATCCTCTGTTAGTATGGGGTCATCAGTCCTTTCAGGCTTCAGTTCATAGTGAAGATCCTTCATAAGCGAGTACCCAGAGTGAAGGCAAAATGGAGGAACACACAGGGACCTCTTTATATTCCAAATCTCTGAAATACATCCTCTGTTAGTATGGGGTCATCAGTCCTTTCAGGCTTCAGTTCATAGTGGAGATCCTTCATAAGCGAGTACCCAGAGTGAAGGCAAAATGGAGGAACACACAGGGACCTCTTTATATTCTTACCCAGGTGGAGGGAATCCCATTATTCTCCCTGTGTGAAAGTATGCCCCAAGATGGCATTTGTCACATGAGAAAGTTACCTTTCCATACATGACACAGTCCTTTTTAGGCAGCTGCCATCGGTTACATGCTGGTCCGAGCGTTCACAGCAAAGCTCATTGGATGTGCATTGGCACCACCTAAGGTACATTGTCAGTGAAGTATTGCTATTCATTTGACTAGCAACCTTTTCACAATAGGTTGGCCAAACCTTCTGAAGGCTCCCAGAAGCAGACTTTGAAATACAAGTGCATAGCCAATTCCTGTATCTTCAAATACAAAACTGGTACATGTATATGAATAGTATAAACAGAATCAGCTTTTCAAAGACATCTAACTTGAAACATTTTGTACAAGATTTGGTGCAAACAGATAATAGTGGTTGCAACAATTATTTGTACGTTCATTTCACAATCTAATGTCACAGGGTCTCTGTCCTGATTCTTGACTCTGTGCCTGAGTCTGGCACTCACAGTGTTCGTTGCTTCAGACAATAAGCATAAAGGACTCCAAATAAAGGTATCAGAAAGAGGAAACAATAGTGCAAAATGTACCCACCGAGGGCATCATTTGGTCTAATGGGGCTGTCAAAGATTATTGGGGCTTGAATAATGTATACTTCTGATGATGATGCACGAGGAGGAAATAAACCATTTTGACGCTCAGAAACTAGCTGGAGCTTGAAGCTTGGGAGGTAGCGAACTGAGTGCATCTCACATAGAAATCATCAAGACAATAACCATTGTTATTAGCAATGAGTCACTTTTACAGTGCCAGAGTGAATGGATGCAGTTCCATTGACTTCAACAGAGCTATACTGATTTAAACCAGCTGAGGTTCTGGTCCCAAAAGTCTCTTTTCAGTGTAGAGCTGCTTGAATACAATAAAATAAAACAGCTAATGGAGTTCCAAGAAAGTGAACATCTCGACAGCAAGCCCCTTCCCTCAGTTCAAACCCAGCTCTCAAAAACTTCATGCAATTAGTGTGTTAATTGTGTCCTTTAGAGAATATATGAATGCCCTAGCTTAAATGATAGGTAGATATTTTAACATTCTTCCCAAGAAGCTTGAATTTATCTGCATTTAATAAAATATTTTTAAATGGCCAAAAACTGAAGTTTTGACCCCTTAAGTCTAGTATCTTTAAAATGAATAAAAGAAAGAAAGAGCTTGGAAGAAAACAGTGTATATAAGCTTTCAGAGGGAAGAATTAGGCATTTTTAGTCTGGATACAAGTACAAGGGATGGGATAAATCCAAGAGTTTTCAGGGAATTTAAGAGTGAGGTGGCTGAGTTGTTAAAGATATCCAGTGTCTCAATATCATCAGCTACTATTCCAGAGGGCAGCAATACAAAAAGGTGCTATGGATTATAGCAATTACAGACTAATCTCCCATACTTAGATAACAAGTACATTAGTTATAGGAGCTGCAAGATTGGATCAGACCTGTGGTGTAACTAATGTAAGAGTAAGATGCAAGAAATCCAAGGGTGGACAATTATAAAATAACTCGTCTATAGGAGAAATTTCTTCTTAACCTCCATCAGTACTGGCTGTTGTAAAGAGAGACAAACTGATTTTTTTCATGACAGAATCAGCTGTGGCTATAGACCTCTGAGCAAAGATGGACTCTCCACAGACCCTTTACAGACATTCACCAATTATTCTAGGAAAGTTATAGGACAATCAGACTTTTTTCTCTAATAAAGTTTTATTTGTAGAACAAAGACACTGATACATTATTAACACAGATTTACATGTAACAAGAGGTTCATGCATAAAGCTGCTTTATCTTCTGAACAGATTGTTTCCACCACCCCTCCCAGCGCTGAGACTGGGTTAGCTGGGCTGTGTTTTCTTCCTTCATCTTGGCAAATTCTTCCTCCAGCTTCTGCTTATATTTCTGAACAAATAAGCAAAAAATAAGAAACATTAAAATCTGATTACCTGTCATCTCTTTCAGTTCTAACTCCATACTCTGCCCCCCCCCACCCCGTGTCAGATGACTGTGTAATGGCCACATTTGACAATAGAGCTATACAAGCAATTAATTACTTAATACATTCTTTCCGTTTCTTTCTTTAATAGGTACTGAAACAAGCAAAATAAAGATTTAAGTTTTGCTTTTAAGTATAAAGTGGGTTAAAATGCAAGATTCTCCATCCCTCCTCAATGAGTTCTACATATTCTAGAAGGATGCTAAAACTCTAATCTTCTTTTGTCTTAGAATTTATTAAGGCACAGAGACAAGCTAAACTGCGTGAAGCTGCTCTGAGATACATCACCTAGACTGAACTAGGGAATTATGAAACTTTTACCATAATCAAAACCTCTAGACCACATAAATGAGTTATTGTTCTAAAATACTGTTTTCTTGAATGTATACATCATTATTTCATTTTGCCTTAACCTAATACATTTTATTGTGCAGCATGTATGTACTATATGATACGTACATTGATAAATATTACTCACACACATATATACATACATCATGCCTAGCTCCCAGGTGTGTTTTAAGACAAGTCCTTAACTATCATTACACACACATAAAATTTGGACACAGTTTTATGATCTTGCTATTTCTGCCATAATTTTATATATATAGATATATATACAAAATGTCTGTTGAAATGAATTGTTGAAATTAATCACTTGGGGTAAAGTCACTTCCAGAACTGGCCTAGCAATGCTGATCTTTTATTCCCCTGAGGACTTAACAGAGCACTTTTCCCCAGCTGCTGATTTTGTTGAGTTTTTCAGCTATACACAATGCGAGTTGGAGGGCTTGGAAGCAGATTGGAAAGGAATGTGTTCATTTTTCTACTGGACAAAGTGACGAGAGGGTGACCCTAGTAGTGGTAGAAAGAGAAATCAAAGATTATTTAGGATGGAAATAGGAGTAGATCTTACCACCTATTCCACTCCAAGAGAGAACTAGCTTTGTGATCCAAAACTGAAATGACAGACTTTAGGAAGAGAAATAAGTACTGTAATGAAACAGTATGAGGGGAGAATTGTGACACCACAGTTCGGGTGCGTCTACACAGCAGCATTATTTCAGAATAACGGCCATTATTCCGAAATAACAATGTGAGTGTCTACACAGCAATTCCGTTATTTTGAAATAAATTCAAAATAACGGATGGCTTATTCCGACTTCCGTAAACCTCATTTCATGAGGAATAATGCTTCTTCCGAAACTGCTATTTCAGAATAGCTGTAGGCTATGTCTACATTGCCCTCTCTTGCACAAGAAAATATGCAAATGAGGCAAAGCAGTGAATATCGCCGTGCTTCATTTGCATATTTAATGAGCAGCTATTTTTGCACAAGGGGCTTTTGCGGAAGAGCCATTCTTCCTGAAAAAGTGGCAGAACGGCTGTTGTGCAAGAAGGGGTTTTTGCGCAAAAGCCCCTTGCACAAAAATGGTGGCTCATTAAGTATGAAATGAGGCATGGCGATATTCACTGCTTCACCTCATTTGCATATTTTATTGCACAAGAGAGGGCAGCATAGATGTGGACGCTCCACTGCTGTTATTTTGAAATAGCTCCTCCCCAGGGCTATTCAAAGTAATTACTCTTTAGTGCTTCCTGCGGCTCTAAATCGAGGTAGTGCATCCACATTAGGGGAGCCTACCTCATACTAATTTCAAGTCTACTCTGTAGTGTAGACACACTATTTCAAAATAAGCTATTTTGGAGTATTTCTTCTGGAATAGCTTATTCTGAAATAAGTGTGCAGTGTAGACGTACCCGTTCCTGTCCAAACTATAGCTCTACTGACATTTATGTCCATCATAATTTGTTTTGGCACCATTCATTGTTTTGTCCTATTGAAAAGTGGGGAAATGCCTGAGAGAAAAGGATTTCAGCCAGAAATCACTCAAGCACTTTCTACTTTAGTCCCCATCATAAAGAAATGGAAATGAGAGGGGATTTCTGGTCATCCTTATTTTGACTATAATCTTTGAAAAGACTTGCAGTGTGCCCTGGTTTTATGAGCAGGTACATTTTCTATAAGCTATGGCCTTCTGAAATGACCCCCCTCTCCCACACAAACCACATAGGCTGCATCTCTTGCTTCTTCTGCTGAAACATGACCCAGAGTCGTTTTGGCTGTTGTCACAGAGGCAGTTTCTCTGCAGAGAATATGGTCTGGAACATCTGTGAGCATAGTCATAGGTACTCCAGGCCAGGTCCTTAAAACCACAAAAAAGAAATCCTTTAAAAGACTTTTTGTTGGTGGGGAAGGAAAGGAGTAGAACAATTTTACTGCTCATTATACCTAAAGAGAAAATACAGGTTGAATTTTTTTTTCAAAAAGAAATTGCCACAAAAGCAGGAGCTTGACCAGGAGTGGGCAATAATTTTTGGTGGGGGACCACTCCAAGATATTGATACGTGATTAAGGGCCACACTTTTCTGTGGAGAGAGTGCAGAGTCTGGGATGAAAGTTGGATGTAGAAGAAAGCTCAGGGTAGGGGACTGGGGTTCAGGAGAGTGTATGGGGTCTGAGAGGGAGTTTGGCTGAAGCAAGGAGTTGTGACACGGGGCAGGGTATTGGGGTGTAGGATCTCGGAGGGTTTTTGGGTGCAGGAGAGGATTCTGGCCTGGGGGAGAGATGTAGGAGTGGGTGGCGGGTCTGGCAGGGAGTTGTGACCTGGGGCAAAGGGCAGTGACCTGGGACAGGGAGTTGGGGTGCACAAGAGGGTGGGGTGCCAGATGCAGGCTCTGGCTCAGAGGTGCTTACCTAAGCTGCTCCCAACCAGCAGCCCAGCAGGACCCTCAGGAAGGCTCAAAAGTGGCTGGCTGCTCCATGCTGCTCTCTGTGCTGAGCATCATGCATTGCCCCTGCCTCCAGCACAATTTCTTAGCTCCCACTGGCAGCCAACCATTTTGAGCAGTCTGGGGCTGCACCTTGACTGATGGTCACTGAAAGCCTTGGTGGGCCACACCTGGCCCGTGGGCCTCATCTTGCCTGCCCCGATCTAGACTAATACTGGGAGTGAGGAATTTAGTTATTTACCAAAACTAGAACAAAAATACTTTTTCTGTTATATGCAAATTCCATTGATTAATATGGGGTCAAAATAAGGAGGGTTTTTCCCCAAAGAGGCATTTTCTATCTCTCAGAAGTAGACTAGTTTAGAGGAACAACATCCTAATTGCTGTGGGTAGAACTTAGGAAGGACAACAAGTGTACTGACATGAACAAGCACAGTAGAAAACTATGTGGACAGAACCCAGAGCATTTTTGACAGAAAATGTGCAGAGAACTGCCATATATAATGGTACCTGCTGCCACGTTCAGTTAATGGCTTCACCTCATGGATCTCTAAAGAAAGTCCAGCTCGTTTACGACGGATTAAAGTGCAAGTCTTTTCTTTCGGCATTTCAATTTCTGGGACACAGCAAAGAGAAAACTTAGTAGCAGCAAGACAAGATCAGCTACGTATCATTGAGCCAAGGCAATTGTACAAAGCTAGATACTTTTCGTTTTCTACGGGTAACTTTGCAAGAAATCAGTGAATCATCCAAATTCTCTCTTTTCATAGTACTCAAAGGTCTCCTATTCCTAACCTGGTCATCAGAGCACAGAAATCGCTTTCCAATTGGGCCAAAAGCCCTGTTTGTAGCATCCTGAACTGCTACATGGTGGGACTGAGGCATGGTACCAGGTGTCTGGTTTTCAACTGGAACACCCTGTCAAAAAGAGATCCTGGTGGCTACAGTCAGCACCACTGACCTGTCCCAGCCCTGATCTCCTCCCCACCCTCTGAATCTCTCAGTTCCAGCCCAGAGCACCCTGCACCTCAAACCCATCATCCCCAGCCTCAACCCAGAGCCCACCCCCCCAGCCAGAGTCCTCACTCCCTTCTGCACCCCAACCTGCTGTCTCAGCCATGATCCCCTTCCCTTCCTCCCAGCCCCTCAATCCCAATCTAGAGCCCCCTCCTGCAGGCAAAATTCCTCATCCCCAACCCCACATCAGTGCCTTTTCCTCCATCTGGAGCCCTCAGTCCCCTGCACTGCAACTCCCTGCCTCAACCCAAAGCCCCTTCTTACTCCCTAAACCCCTGTGGGGGAGCCATTAATGTTGATGTCTGCTTTGTCCAAAGTGTGGATTTCTGGCCTGTTTCAAGTCTGGTGCGCCAAAGCATGCAGGCGGGGCCCAAGAGTCAGGAATTGTTTTGAATAATAATGCAGATTAAGCATGGTATGCGAGACCATGTCAAGAACACACAGGATAAGCAGCCTTATACTGGTACTTGTTTCTGATAAGCAAAGTTGTACTAGCCCCCATGGCAATTTAGAATTTTGCATGCACAAACCACCATTGCACCCTGCCATCTATGCTGCATTTCCAAAGGGCACACAGCAAAACTTCACCTACAGAGTCAGCCACGGAAGAAGGGAGATGCAAATATGTTGCTCTTGAGAATTTGAGATGAAACTACAAACTCTAAATTTTTACTTGTCGTTAATAACACTCATCCTTAAATTGCATAAAACTTTCCTTGAAACCTTTTGACAATGAATAGTTAAAAAAAAAATCAATGGATGACTGCACTTGGCATTACAAGTTCCTCAGTATAATGAAATACAGCTAATATAAGCAATAGGCATCGTCAATTATAGAATGAATAGCGCAGAAGGGACTCTATTTCTCCTTTTAACAACATTTTGATGGAAGCATCAAGAAAGAAGTGGAGAATTGGGTAAGTGCTCCTTTCAGTTGACTTACTTGCTACTTGTACATCATCAATGGTGATACATTCATCTAACTCCAGAAGCAGGTTTTCCGTGAGGCTAGCTAGCGCAGAAACAAATTTCTGGACACACTCAGTAGCACAGGCCTGCAGGGGCACAGTTATCATTTTGGGACTCAAGTGCAAATGGGAAACGTGCTCCTCCCAAAGATCCTCATCTCCTACACAACTCTCCACCCTTGCTTGTGTACAACAGCTGCAGAGCAGCACTTTAGGAAAAGCTCAGAGTTTGGCTTCTTGGGAATGCTTCCCTGCAAACACATCACGGTTCAGACTGATGTAAATTATAAAATGGCATAAGAAGATCTCTGTAGTAAGAGACTATAAAGCTCAAGAATTGCACAATATGATTAAACAGAAAATTAAAACACCCAGAGGAAAAGCACCCCCCACGTGCTGCAATTAAGAATGTTAGCCAGGAGATGTCACCATTGCTCCATTCTCACATGCTGTGTGATTGAATAAATTAGTCTTTTCAGAACCAAAGATGTTATCATTATGGGAGCAGTCAAATGCAAGTTCACTCCTTACCTCAGTTTGCAGTATGAATAAATACCCTATGGGAATAACAGATTAACTATAAATCTGTATCCATGCACTCTTATGAAGATCATAGGGTCTAATGATGACAGCACAGAATGAAGAGTCAAAAGATATTGTCTTTGTTGGGAGCTCCCTACAATTAAAAAAAGTTTCCCAGTTCACTTTTAACCATGGAGGTAAAATGCACCTAGACTCCAACCGCTGACCTCAAGCAAGAAATCACACAGGTGCTAACAAACCACAATTCAGTGTGTCACTCATACCTGCAGTTTCTGGGTATTCAGGAGTATCCCATCAGCTTGGTCTTTTTGTCTTTTTAACTCCTCCTGGCACAAAACCTCCAGCAGGGGTAAGTTGTCTGGGTGCCCCAGCGCTGGACGCAGTTTTTTCTTGTTCTCGGCCTTTAATCAAACAAAGACATCACTAGCATTTTCTGTAGGGAATGAGTGACTGGGTTCTTGTAGCCAGACAGGAACCCCCTTGTAACATCCATTTTTGCTTGCCTGGAGCATACAGGGCACACAGAGCAGAAGGCCCAGGCTGTGTGACCGTGAATGGCTGTAAACAGAGATACGCCAATTGCTGACCAAGAGGCTGCCAAGGAGTGCCCTTGACTCAAACCCATATTGATACGAACACACATCCATCCGCGGGGGGAGGAATCTCTCGCCCAGTAAAAAAATGTCTAGTGCTCACAATTTAGTTATCTCTCTTGCAAGTGTAAATTAACTTGAAACTTGCTTGTAAGAACTGGCGCCACAAAACAAACCAGTAGAATTCGGCATCTTAGATAAGAAAGAGAATACGGGCCCCCAGGGGTATAAAGATAGGTCCAGCAGCGCATTTTCTCTGAGTGTCAATCTACCATCTATCTTCTGGTCGGGTTTGGTGATGGATCTCCCGAGGTTCCAAGGGGACGCCCACCTCGTATTCGTCTTTCCTAGGAATTGAGAGACCGGCCCTGGCCTGACACGCTGGAGTCGAGAGGCACAGAAAAGGGTAAAAATTGTACCTGGATGTGGTCCTTTGCTTAAGTATATATATACACATAGACTTAGAGCTCTTTAAAGATTAAGCTGTCACTTAGTACCATTATTTCTATTTTCTATCTTTATTTTCTTGGTAACCATTTTTAAAGTCTGTATTTGTTAGCATTTAAGAAATAGAGAAATAGCCATTGTAACCATATGCTTTTATAAGTCTTTTAATAAACCTGTAACAGTTTAAGCTTTAACCTGACTCCTCCAGTTGCTGTAATTGTTTAAGTATATATATACATAGACTTAGAGCTCTTTAAAGATTAAGCTGTCACTTGGTACCATTATTTCTATTTTCTATCTTTATTTTCTTTGTAACCATTTTTAAAATCTGTATTTGTTAGCATTTAAGAAATAGAGCAATAGCCATTGTAACCATATGCTTTTATAAGTCTTTTAATAAACCTGTAACTGTTTAAGCTTTAACCTGACTCCTTCAGTTGCTGTAACAGAACCAAGCACAATTTAAAAGAACTTCAGCCGGTCATAAAGGGACAGACATAGGGAGAGCTTGGGCGTTTGGATCTGTGTCACTCCCAGGTGACAAGATCCGTTGGGGCACCTTTTCAGCCTTTCCTAGGCTGCCCTCTGCGAAGGAACCCCTGTGTTCTAGCAGCTAAAATCTAAGGTGTAATAAGCTCTTCCTATATAACGGGGCGTCTGTTGGCCTGCTGGCCACCCTCTGCGATGGGACCCCGGTCCTAGCAGTAAAGACACGGACGTTAAACCTTTTCTCGGAAACATACACACACACACTGCCCTGACCGTCGGCTGACAGTTCTAAAGAGAAAGAGGGATAAGTAGAAACACAACTCTTATGTATCATATATAACAGGGTGGCATGCTCTTTAATGGCTAAATGCCTTGGGCCAGCCAACTGTAGTTACTAAGGAGATACACCTGAGCAGGGATCAGCTGACTCCCTTATAAAGAACAGCAACATAGAGAGAATCACCAGGTAGATCAGCAGCGGGACAGAGACCTGTCAGAGGGTGAGGGAAGCAAGTAGGCACCCTTAGACATCAGTAATGCTGTGATGCTTCCTGGGATCCCCTGGATTGTTAGGCACTTTGGTATCACCTGCCCTTAGCAAGAGGAAATCTTGTCTGTCGATCAGGTCCTTGACTCCACCAGCCTCTGCCGTCCCTAGCACTGTCCTCCGGGCCTTCAGAGGCCTTGCTCTCTGTGCAGGTTAGTGATAGGCACATAACACCAGAGTCCTTCAAGCATCCCTCTGGAGTGCCCAACCCTAACCCACTGAATACTCACTGAATTTCCAGATTCTCTGCTCCCAAAGGAGTGATATACACACCAGCTTACTAGTGTCAACTGAGGATCACCACTCCGGTTAACACAGAGCACTTAAAGAACAGAAAATAAAAGTAAAAATACTGGAAAGAAAACAAAATCATAACATGGGTTCAAAACCCTGTACCCAGCTATAAGACTGAAACTAGGGGTGCAAGCAAGCAAATGAGTTTAATATAACTGCCAATAACATGTTCAGTCTCACAGCAGATATCTTATGCTGAAGACATTCCAGCATGCCCATAAACCGTACCTTTGCACTGTCCCATTCTTCCAGCTGTGCTCTGAAGAGTTGCTGGATCTGATCAGTGGAGTGCCTGAGCTGCTGCATCTTAAGGCACTGAGAAGCTTTTACTTATTGGAGTAATTTTTTGATAACACTTACTGCTACGTCTTCAATAACTGACTTTCCAAGTCTGCTTAGATTCAGCAGTGGAATATTATCTACCCCCATGACTACCATCCTACTCGCCTCCCTGAGACTCTCCGATCAGACGGCATTTGCAATAGAACCCTGCAACGCAAACTCTGTCTGTGCTGGGCTGGGGTCCTGGAGGTGGAGGAAAACCAAATCAGCTATTATTAAAGAGAACAGGCAGTTAGTTATTCTATTGCATGGAGGCACCAGAAGCTAAGCATGTTGCCCCACAGGCTAGATGAAAGAGTTTTATTCTTTAGGGTGAGTCTACACTGCACTGTTATTTCGAGATAATTACTGTTATTTTGAAATAACAATGCGAGCGTCTACACAGCCATTCCGTTATTTCGAAATTCTTTCAAAATAATGGACATCTTATTCTGAAATCTGTAAACTTCATTCTACGAGGAATAACGCCTATTCCAAAATAGCTATTTCGAAATAAGTTGTGTGTAGATGCTCCATTGCTCCTATTTCAAAATAGCCCCTCCCCAGTGCCTCGTGGGGCTCTAACTCGAGATAGCAAGTCTACATTAGGGAAGACTGCCCTGAACTAATTTTGAGGCTTCCCTGCAGTGTAGACGTGCTATTTAGAAATAAACTATTTCGGAATAGCTATTCTGGAATATCTTATTTTGAAATAAGCATGCAGTGTTGACGTGCCCTTAGAAACATTTCCAATAGATTTTCCCTTTTTCTGCAGCTATGGGAGGTTGAGCGTTACGTGTTAAAAACAATCCTCAAATAAATATAATTAAAATAATGATTCCTATTAGCTAACAAAAGACAACACATTGTAAAGAAGATGTACCAACCAATAAGGAAGATTAATCACTCGATACAAAATCTGCTATCCAATCAACTCCTTCAGCAAATGAATCTGAATTTTTTAAAGAGACTTTTGAAACACACTCTCACAACCTCTCATTAAGAATCACCTCTTCCAATGTGCTGAGCATCTCCAGAGTAGTTCTGAGCACCCTCAACACATGGTAGGGCACTCAACCTCACTCATTGGTGGGGCACTCAGGACCTTGCAAGTTTGGGCTTTACATCACCACCTCTTGGGCAGCTTGTGATAATTTGAAATTCAATTGCATATGTATTTTACATGAAAATTCAAAATATGCATTCTGTAACCCTATTAAAATACAGGAGTAATTAATATAGTTCTCATTTGAATAATGAAATTCACCCAAGGTCTACATAAAATAAAGAGTCCAGCTAATGTTATCTTATAGTACAATAGGAAGTGAGTGTATTTATCAGCAGGCAATTCAGATATTTGCTTCTTTTTTTCATTTCTTTCATCATAGTTTTGGCAAAGTCATACAGTTCTTCTGAAGTCACAGACTAGTTAAAAAGAAAGGATATAGAACAGACTTATATGACAGCAAGTAAAAATACTGGAAAGAAAACAAAATCATAACATGGGTTCAAAACCCTGAACCCAGCTATAAGACTGAAACTAGTGGCGTAAGCAAGCAAATGAGTTTAATATAACTGCCAATAACATGTTCAGTCTCACAGCAGATATCTTATGCTGAAGACATTCCAGCATGCCCATAAACCGTACCTTTGCACTGTCCCATTCTTCCAGCTGTGCTCTGAAGAGCTGCCGGATCTGATCAGTGGAGTGCCTGAGCTGCTGCTCGTGCTCTTGGAAAAGGCTGTCGATAACCAGACGGGAGACATGAGGAAGCTGTTCTTCAAATAACTTCAGCTGATCCCAGAACTCTGTTGGAAAAGGCCGCCACAAGATGGTTTGTGTACATAAAAGACACTGACTTTAAGGAACCAGAAACCAACCAAACAAAAAGTCTAGCATAAGTACCTAAAGTGACTGGAATTTTCTTTCACAGGGATAATTTTTTTTCCACACACATCCCACCTTTGTGTCCACTGTCCCAGGACCAGTGGTTGGAGACCCACACTGGTTCTAACACATTTGTACAGGTCTGTCAACTATCTTTGCAATGGTTTTTCTCACATAATTTTAGTAACTGAAACCACTCTAGTTAGAGGTATTTGGCCCAACTCTGGTGCCACTCACTGAAACGGAAACATAACTAGGCTTTAAAACTTTCCAGCCTTCTCAGTGATAATAGGACCTTAAATCCATACAAAGCCTGCTCTTGTTCCTTCTTCCAGATCTCTCCCTTCCATAGAATGATTCAGGGCAGCTGTCCCAGGCCCTGATCTTTTGGGGGCCCCGTGGAGGCTGCCCCAACCATCCTATGGATGGGAGGGACCTGGGGGATTACCAAGGTGCCTGGTGCCACAGCAGCAGGGATTGTCCCCCCACCTCACTCACCATGGTGGCAGGCGCCAGAGCAACCGTGCAGCCTGGTCTGATGTACCCTGCCCCACTCCTGTGGCAAAGCCCTGCTGCCACCATGCCAGACCCCTATAATCTCCCGGGCTACAATTCTCATGGGAGGGGGCAAGGAGGGTGAACAGGGGTAGAGTAAGGATGGGGCAGGAATGAAGTGGGGTCAGGGGGGACCTGCAACGGGGGGGGGCTTGCCCCAGACCCCTCACCGCCCTCAGGATGGCTGCCATCTTCCATTTGAATTGACTTAAGACTGAATTAAGAAAATTTCTAGGCTTATGATCATTTCAGCTTTCAGTTCCAGCTGGTACATATGACAAAGTATTAGGCTTTAGAATTTTACCTAGTAGGCAGGAATTATGGTAATCATCTGTCTGGCTCTGATAAGACAGGAGCTTCTGCCCAAATACTTCTGCACAATGTTCAAATGTTTCTTGCAGATATTCAGGCCTTGTGATTTGATGCTTATCCTTTCGGTAAAACTCCTTTGGAAGGTAAAGATGTGATAAAGAAAAGGACTTGACAAACCCATCCAATCTAATCCACTGCAAACAAAACAGTCATTGGCTTTCAACCTCCCCTTCATTCTGTGCCACCTTTATCCTCTCCCACGTGTGCCTTATCAGAGGGAATGTTTGCTGAGCATGCAGTGCAGATTCATTCCCAGATATCAGGGGTGTCACAGACCTATCACTATGCTTTATTAAAATATGCTTATGAATATGCATAACTGGAAAGTTGTAATCTACTGAATAGTGTTTTCCTATTTGTATGCATCTATCATTCCTGTTTGCTGGACCTGGGATGTTGTCAGACAAAGGAAATCTGGATTAGAGAAGTTCAACCTGTACCGGAGTAAATCTGTAATAGTAGAAATTGACTGCAGAAAATACAGTTTTCTTACCTCAGCAAGATACAGCAAGGTATTGTTACCTTCCCAAAGAATGCAGTTGATAATCCCCTTAAAATGACTGAAACCAAAACACAGTGACAAACCAAAAAGTTCTTACAATGCTTTTAAAAGTCCCAGTGTATCTCATTGAACATGAGATGTAAATATATTAAAATAATCATAAATACAATGTAAATATCATATTATACAATGTGTTGTAATAATGCCTAAGATGAACCCATCTCTCTTCAAAGCAAGTAAAGACCAGAGTAATATGCATACACAAAAATTCATGCAGAAAATATTAGGTATAGTAAAACAAAAAAGGCAAAATAAGATACATTTTTGTGCTGTGGGTATCATGATGATTTTTGACAGGGTTTCCACCCATTCTCCTTTCATCTCCTACCCCTTTTTGTCCAAGGCATCAAATGATGTAAACAACCAGTCCTATACTTAACACTTCACATTTATTTCTTTGACAATAAGACTGTACAATAATCTATCTTTACCAAAATAGCAATTTAATAATGTATTGGATCAATAGTTAAAGAAATACAGAGCAAACTTACTCAGATTGTTTAGGCCTCTCTCCAAATATGTGGAATTTCTTGTCAATTCGAGTTGATCTGGAGTATTTTTGCATACTGAAGAGGCAAAGATTTTCTATTTTATTAAAAATAATTCAGACATTTAATATATAAGTCTCTCTTCCCCTTCTAGGCAGTTGTTTGTGATAATATGGTCATATAAGCTGTATCAAATTTAAAGCAAACTGGGAAGCTTTTCATGCCCCCTCTTTTATTTAACGTGAAAATTATCATCTGATAGAGAAGGTCTCAGGATTTTGCTCCCTGTTAGCACTCCAGATCCTCCCTTTCCTGATCCTCTTTTAGAACAAATGAGCCAATACAAGGGTGGCTGTGTCTAGACTGGCATGATTTTGCGGAAATACTTTTAACGGAAAAGTTTTTCAGTTAAAAGTATTTCTGCAAAAGTGCGTCTAGATTGGCACGGATGCTTTTGCGCAAAAGCATCCATGCCTATCTAGACGCGCTTTTGCACAAGAAAGCTCCGATGGCCTTTTTAGCCATTGGGCTTTCTTGCGCAAAAAATTAAGGTGCCTGTCTACACTGGCCCTCTTGTGCAAGTATTCTTGCGCAAGAGGACTTATCCCTGGAGCAGGAGCATCAAAGTATTTGCACAAGAAACACTGAGTTCTTACACTAGAATGTTAGTACGCTTGTGCAAATTCAAGCGGTCAGTGTAAACAGTTGGCAAGTTTTTGCGCAAAAGCAATTGCTTTTGTGCAAAATCTTGCCAGTGTAGATGCACCCGGGTATGTCTACACTATTTCGAATTAACTTAATTTAAAACAGTTAATTCGAATTAAGCTAATTCAAAATAATGCATCTAGACACAAAAACTATTTCGAAATAGCGTTTTGCTATTTCAAAATAGCACGTCCACGCTGAGTGGACCCTGAACAGAAGTGAAGGCTGGCTGGAACCAGTGCCGACAGGGCATCAGTTTAGGACTTAGTGTGTGGGGCTGCTGCCTGAGGTTAACTGAACTCCATGCTTAAAGGGACCCTACCCCCACCCCAGACAGACAGTTCTCAGGGTTCCCCGCTTGCTTGTCTACCTCGATGAGGGACAGCAAAGCAGCCCTGTCTTGGAGTGCCCTGAGTGCCCATACTTGGGACACCACAGCACTCGGCCACATGGAGCCAGAGCTGCCCCTGGGCACGCTGCCATCCAGGGGCTCCATCGGGGGGGGGCTGTCAGGATCCAGGAGGCCCTGAGGGAGAGCATCCACCCCGAGAAGCCCTCACAACCTCCCTGGTCCTCCCCACCGGAGGCTCGTGCCCCATTCCTCCCTCACATCCTTCCACTTACCCCTCCTTAGCCCCCTTCCTGATGTCAAATAAAAGACACATATGTTCAAAAATAGAAACTGGGTTTAGTGAACAAAACTGGGCGGGGGGATGAACCTCTGGGGAGACTGGGAAACGGAGGTGGGAGAGGGGAAGAGAGAGGGTGGAAGAGGGGAGGGAGAAACCTGGGAGGAGGGAGCTGGAAGGGGGAAGCAAGGGGAAGAAGGGGGAGGGGAAGCTCAGGGCTCAGGGTTGGGGGTCTTGCCAGACCAACCTGACTTTCATGCTAACCTGCTCCTGGGTTCGTACGTGGCCTTTGGTGGCCAGGCTGGAAGCTATCCTGCTATAGACAGCCGCATTCCTCTGTCTAGTGCGGAGATCATGGACGTTGGGGGCATTCCTCCCAAACCGGAATAAGGTCCATGATCTCCACCCTGGACCAGGAAGGCTCCCACCTTCTCCAGCCCATCAGGCTCCTGGGAGCTGGCAGACTGCTCCTGGGGAGTGGTGGAGGACTGGCTGCCAGTGGCTTGCTGGCTCATGTTTTGGGGTCACTGGGTCAAGGGCCTCGTTGGCCACTGCTGGCTCTGGGCTGGCAGGCTTGGAGATGGCACAGACACTGTGGCCAGAATCTACCCCTTTAATGGCTCTGGGGCTGGGGGAGAGGAGAGTAAGCTTTCCTGGTTGTGCCCAGAGTAGCCACCAGGGCTCCCTGGGAAGGGCTGGAGACCCCCTATTTCAAATTAAGTGTCTACACAGTGTCCTCGTAGAATGAGATTTACCAAATTCGAAATAAGGGCTCCACTATTTTGAATTTATTTCAAAATAGCGGTTTTGCCTGTGTAGACGCTATTAAAGTTAATTCGAAATAATGGCTGTTATTTCGAATTAACTTTGTAGTGTAGACATACCCCAAGATATTACCTCATCCGCCTTGTCTCTCTACTATCCTATTATTGATATAACTACAATTACATTGCATACTGATTAGCACCTAGCCACATAAATGCCTGTTCAATGTGTCCCAGAGCCAAACTGAGTTTCCAAAATCAGACATACAGTTTAGGTAGCCATATCTGAAAACAATGATATCTGTGCTAGCTATCAATAATATATACGCATATCCATACATTTGGAAACACTTTAGTGTTTTTATATTACATACACACTTCTTTGTATAGCATCAACCTGAATCCCAAAACACTCTGTATTTACTGAAATGGGAGAGGGAGAGAGAAATTAATATGTAGAGTTGAGGTGAGTTTTCAGATAAAACTGAAATGAGAGCGAACTGAACTGAAATGAGAGAGAGTTGATAAGGCACAAATACACCGCATAGTTGGTCCAGATTGGAGGCAACATTTAAGAAAAGATTCACACCAATAGCAGAGAGAATGTGTAAGAGGATGTAAAGCAGTCTAGTGTTAAACAAGCGGAAGGAAGTAAATACAAACAAGATGTTCGAGTTTCTCTTTCCACAGTCCTCACCTCGCTACTGAGAGCTTTTTGTTTGCAGAGAAAGACTTCTTGGGTCCTCCATACACATTGCCATAAGGAACAGAGTTCTGGGGACTTTCAGCATGTACATTTGAAACAGAAACTCTCTGTGCTGTGGGAGCCTGATAAGTTGTTTGATAAATTGGTTGATAGATGGGTTGATAGATCCCTTATAAGAAAAGAGGCAGTAAATTCTATAGGTCTAACTTGAAGTAATTTCTATATTATTATACATATGTTTTCATTTCCATGCTGAGTACTCCTAACATTAACCAAAACGAGCAAAGAGAAAACAGTAAGATGTTTGTAAATTTGAATCAGCACCCAGAAGTCTAGGTGGCTAATCTTCTGTTGTTTGAAGGTATGCCGTCTCGGCAAGGGCTCCCTGCAACACTTTTGGACAAGGAAGAGGTTTGTGTATCTGCCACTCCTGGCTTCCCTCCAGGCCACCTATATGCTCATGGGCAGAGACTCTAGAACCTAGGAAATGGGTCTGCATCTGGTGTAGAAAGCAAGTTATATTTGATAAAGATGAGATACAGTGTAGGATCTTATTCCTTTGCAGGTCCATTGAAGACAAGGGCACAATCTGGACACAAGTCTATTTCACTGTATTTTGGTATTTCCACTTCAGATCCTGAACTAAATTAGGAACAAAAGAAAGTGAAAAACATACAGAGAAGTTACACAAACAGTTTCTGAATCTTGGAAAGGTTTGGATGAAAATATGAACAGATTTTTATCTCATCCAAATCAATTTGTCCCTGCCTAATTAGAAGCTTATTTAATGAGAGGTTGGGTTCTTTTCCAGCTATAGCTCTCAGCTTTCACTTTTCTCAACAGAGTTCAAGTCCAATTTGAAGTATTAAGTGAAATGGGTTTTATGGCCTCAATTCAACCTCTAGTGAATGTTTGTCCTCATAAAACCACCATGCGTTTGACACAAATGGGAGTGTCTGCTTAGGGGAGGTTTAGAAATGTGCCAGTATGGATAGGCCAGAGTGGACTCTCCATTAGGGATGTTAGCTAACAAGTAATTTACTAGTCGAGTAGTTGATGGAATTTCTATTGACCACTCAACTAGTCGATAGGCACTTCTGCTGGGGTTCTTGTACATTTCAAAGGAAGAATGCAGAGCTCGCTTTGAAATGTCAGCTGACCCCAGGCTCTGCACAGCATTCCATGGAACCTGGGGTCAGCTGGAGACTCCCCAGCTGACCCTGGGCTCTGCACACTTTTCAAAGTGGCAGCGCCGCACAGAGTCCAGGATCAGCTGGGGACTCCACAGATGACTCCGGGTTCTGTGGAAAAGCTTCAGGGAGCCCGGGGTCAGCTAGGGAAACCCCAGCTGACCTCAGGCTCTACGTATCGCTGCTGCTTTGAAATGCCATGGCGGTGTTTCAAAGGGGCAGCGCCGCACAGCAGATCCCGGGCTCTGTGCGGCACTGCCCTTTTGAAATATCACCACGGTGTTTCAAACGGGCAGTGCCGCATGGAGCCTGGGGTCAGATCCATGTGGCACTGCCACTTTGAAGTACCCTCTCTTTCTCTCCCGCCTTTGCTGCCTCTATCTGATAGCGACAGCAGGAGGGGGGGGAGGGGAAATCAACTAGTCGACTCGACTAGTCCTTAACATCTCTACTCTCCATGTCAGAAGGAAGTTATTGATTAGGTGGCCTGAGAAAGCTCATATTCTATCAGGCCTAGGATCAAGGCAAGGATGTGGAAGAGGACTTACTTGATCACTGGATATCCATTAGGGATACATTTTCAAAGTGCTGCATGGGGTTTAGTGCTAAAACTCCTATTAAACACAATGGGATTTATAGGTGGGACTGCCACTTTCAAAATCTTAGTGGAATTACATGTAGAACTGCCACATATATTTTACCTAAACCAACATAATCCTTCATTTAACCGAAAAGAGAGAGAGATCGTATCATTGGTTTCTCCTGATGGGAATATATAGGCACTCACAGGCTACGTCTACACTGCCATTTTTTTGTGGCAGAAGATATACAAATTGTGCTCTCACTTGCATATCTTCTGTCAATCCTTTTTGCGGAGGAGGAATAAGGGACCATTTTTTGAAGAATAAGGGATCTTGCGCAAAAGGGTTTTTCCGACAAATGGCCCCATCTACATGGGGCTTTTTAGTGGCAAAACCTCTTCCACAAAAAGGATCGGCAGAAGATAGCAAATGAGAGCGCGATTTACATATCTTCTGCTGCAAAAAAACGGCAGTGTAGACGTAGCCATAAAGATAGAGGGATAAGTCTTGTGCACTATACACTGGCACATAAAGTTGGGGACAAAGAAAGAGTATGTAGAGGGTCTCTTTCCTTCTCATAAGCAGCAGGACAAGATTCATCCAAATCTCTCAAGACAGCACTAGGATACATGACTATCCAGTGTGTTTCCCTGCACACCATATTCCAAAGGATGTCTGGTGCACAGTGCCCCCTCCCCAGTCAACTAGCATGTATGATGCATGCAAGAAAAAGCATACTGGAGCGTACTTTATTCCTTCTAAGAGGTATAAATATACAGTCACATATTAAGAGTAGCCAATTACAATATGTATTTCTTTCCGCCAATCAATAAGAAAAAGCACTTCAACATACCTCCTGCTACTGACTGTGAGCGATCATCTCTCTCATGCCGCAGTTCTGGAGATTTCTTGGATTGCTGAATTCTGAAACAAAAATTAGGAGCTACGTGGCTTCTAAATACCTAGCTACCTGTTCTCCCTTGTTATCATGGTCTGAGAGCACTTTAATCTTGGAGATACTGTCTAATGCTAGGGCTAAATTTACAAATGCACGTCTAACTGCAATAATTTGCAGGAGAGCAAGTCAAATGATCTAGCATAGCTAGAAATTAGATGCCTGCCAGCACAATTATGTAATCAAACATGCAATTGAAAAGGTGGAACTTGCCATTTCACATGAATCACTGTCTCCTTATTCATTAATGTTTATACATTTTTTTGACATAATTTTACCTTTTATGTAACATTTACCCCAATTTAATTCAAACAGTGCCCCTGAAGCTAAAAACTTGTAACCACTTAATATCTATTTTTACAGCACTTCAGTTGAACTAGTGAAATTCTATCATTGCCATTGTGACAGTAAAATAGCTTTGGTTGTGAAATGTCTCTCTCAAGAAGAGGCAGAAATCTCAGTACTTGAGGCTTTTAAAACTAGACTGGAGAAAACATATGAAAAAGTCGTGCATATAATCGTTTCCATCTTGCACTGGCACAGAAATGGCCTGGATGATTTAAATTCAGTGGGATCTTTATGCACTACCAGAACAAAAATAATAAATATATACAGTAAACTTCCAATAATCCGGCACCTTTGGGACCCAAGGGATGCCAGATTATTGGATATGCTGGAGTACTGGAAGGGGAGCTATAAGGAGTCTGGGAGGGGGAGCGGTGTCGGCGGGGAACTGTGCAGCATGGGCAGCACTCCAGCTGCTCTGCCCCCGGCTTCCTCAAGTCCGCCGCTACTGGAACTGACCAGCGGCAGACTTTGGGAAGCTCTGCTCCCGGCTTCCCCAAGTCCGGTCAGTTCCAGCAGTGTCGGACTTTAGGAAGCCGGGGGCAGAGCAGCTGGGGTGCTCTGCCCCATGGCTTCCCCAAGTCCGCCGCTGCTGAAACTGACTAGCATTGGACTTGGGGAAGCCAGGGGCAGAGAAGCTCCAATTGTCCGGCTGGCCAGAGCACTTCCGGGTTCCAGTTGGTGCCGGACTATTGGGAGTGCCAGACCACTGGATGCTGAACAACTGGAGTTTTACTGTATTTGTATTCTTTCAAATTGTGCTTCCTATGTTCAGCATGACAATCAAATGTACATACAGTGAACAAAAAATTAAATAAGGTAAAGGAATAACAAATTAAGGCACTGAGAAGCTTTTACTTACTGGAGTAAATGTCTGATAGTGCTTACTGCTACATCTTCAATAACTGACTTTCCAAGTCTGCTTGGATTTAGCAGTGGAATATTATCCACGCCCATGACCATCATCCTACTCTCCTCTCTGAGACTTTCTGAGCGGACGGCATTTGCAATAGAACCCTGCAATGCAAACTCTGTGTGTGCTGGGATGGGGTCCTGGAGGTGGAGGAAAACCAAATCAGGTATTATTAAAGAGAACAGGCAGTTGGTTAGTATCCAGTGCCTCCATGTAATAGTATAACTATGTTGCTCCACAGGCTACATGAAAGAGTTTTATTATTTAGGATGCATCTACACTGCACTGTTATTTCGAGATAATTAGTGTTATTTTGAAATAACAATGCGAGCATCTACGCAGCCATTCCGTTATTTCAAAATTATTTTGAAATAACGGACGTCTTATTCTGAAATCTGTAAACCTCATTCTACGAGGAATAACGCCTATTCCGAAATAGCTATTTCGAATTAAACGGTGGGTAGATGCTCCACTGCTGCCATTTCAAAATAGCTCCTCCCCAATGCCTCATGGGGCTCTAAATTGAGATAGCAAGTCTACATTAGGGAAGACTGCCATGAGCTAATTTTGAGGCTTCCCTGCAGTGTAGACGTGCTATTTAGAAATAAACTATTTCAGAATAACTATTCTGGAATAGCTTATTTCAAAATAAGCATGCAGTGTAGACGTGCCCTTAGAAACATTTCCAATAGATTTTCCCTTTTTCTGCAGCTATGGAGGTTGAACGTTATGTGTTAAAAGCAATCCTCAAATAAATATAATTAAAATAACGATTCCTATTAGCTAACAAAAAACAACACATTGTAAAGATGTACCAACCAATCAGGAAGATTAATCACTTGATACAAAATGTGCTATCCAGTCAACGACTTCAGGAAATTATTCTGAATTTTTTAGAGAGACTTTTAAAACACACTCTCACAACCTCTCATTAAGGATCACCTCCTCCAATGTGCTGAGCATCTCCAGAGTAGTTCTGAGCACCCTGAACACTTGGCAGCCTCATTGGTGGGGTACTCAGGACCTTGCAAGATTGGGCCTTATATTACCACCTCTTGGGCAGCTTGTGATAATTTGAAATTCAATAGCATATGTATTTTACATGAAAATTCAAAATATGCATTCTGTAGCCCTTTTAAAATACAGGAGTAATCGATATAGTTCACATTTGAATAATGAAATTCACCCAAGGTCTCCATAAAATAAAGAGTCCAGCTAAGGTTATCTTATAGTACAATAGGAAGTGAATGTATTTACCAGCAGGCAATTCAGATATTTGCTTCTTTTTTTCATTTCTTTCATCACAGTTTTGGCAAAGTCATACAGTTCTTCTGAAGTCACAGCCTAGTTAAAAAGAAAGGATAACGTGGATAGTATTTTGCTCCACATGATAAAACATTTAGAATCTACCAAACACATTGACATATCAATTTCTCTCTTAAAGATGTTTCTAATTTGTTCCATCACTTCTGTATCGAGGCATGTGTGGAAACTAGGGGATCAGTTCAATAGCTACAGAAGCTTTTTTTCTTTTTTGAAAATAATTTTAATTGTGACTATCTGGCTCAAGAAAATAAAAGACTAGTGGTTTAGAGACCTTACTGGTGCAACTTCTTATGACTCTTTTCAGCTATGCTATAATAGGGGGAGGAAGCAGAGAGAAGGAACTTTGTTGTGGTAAAATCGATGGAATAAATGGACCTCGAGAGTCAAAGGTTACTCCCGTTACTGAAAAAAACCCACTAAGCAGCTTAACATGATTCAGGGTTTTAAATATAGAGACCTCGGTCTGTTTAGCCTCATGGCAATAAAGGTCATTACAAATCTTTTAAACCTTTTATTCAAAATATAGAAAAAGAAACGGAAAAGAGTTAAATTGTTTAAAATGTAAAGTATTAAGAAAAATCTTTCATTTGAAAATATCCCTTATTCTCTTTTTAGTTGTACCGAGCTTTTGTAGTGGGAACCTCCTATTTGACAGCCTTTTAAATGATAATTGTCCTTTTTAGGGAAGAGAAAAAACTAGTTGCGAAAGTGTGGAACTGAGGTTGCTATTGGTGAAATCCAGTCCTGCTTCTTTCAAGACTATACAAAACGTACACAGAATGGGAGAACAAAGAATAGAATAGACAGAAAATGCACCTTCTGTCTCTGGCAATGACTTTCATCTGCATCCTCCCTGCTAGAGAAACACATGACCTCATCAGTCACTCTGAGACTTGTCAAACTCTTAGTTTAGGGCTCATTGGTCATGGACTCATGGCCAGTGTTGCAACAGAGACAGTCTTGGTCAGATAAGCCAGAGACTTATTAAACAGAACAGGCCCAGCAACGTGGGAGAGGGGCGAAGTGGACAGCTGTCCTAGGGCCCAGTAATTCAAAGGAGTCTGGGGCTCCCAGCTGTTTCTACTGATACTGCAGCAGTGGCGGTGGCTGGAGCCCCGGACCCTTTAAATCACCACGGGAGCGCCGGGCGATCACTCCGGGCAGCTCTAGGGGCTGGGAGGCGTCATGCTCTGGGCGGTGCTGAGGGCTGGGGGGTGTAGCGAGCTTGCTGCCCGATCCCATCCCTTCCACCTGAGGCACTGCCCTTTCCAGGGACATAGTGGCTGGCTGCTACAGCCCTACCCATTCCAGAGGTGTGGAGCCACCCCTCAATCCACGCCTTACCCAGGGGCCCACAGAAGATGTCAATCCCCCCTGAAACAGAAGGCAAAAAAGAGAGAGTAAGGAAAGAGAAGAAATAAAGTGGGGGAAAGGTAAAGGACACATGACACATTCCAGGTGTTGTTGTGTGGGTACATTTCTGGCCCAGTCTGGCCAGGACACCTCTCAGAATCAAGCTGATGAAGGCCTAATGGTATCATAGTGGGACCCAGCTTCATAGTAATAATAAGAGTGTCCATCATAAGAATAAAGCTCATTCCTTTCAGTCTATTTCTCCTTCATCCTGGCTTAGGTGATTTCCTCCCCCATCTCTTTTTAAAGAACCCACAAGGGAATAATGAGCGGAACAGCCGTCCCCTCATTATTTATTCATCAACTAAAACTACCTTCCAACACATCAATTTTAGGTAATTAATTTCCGATTTCATTCTTCCTTCTTCACCTGTCATGATCTTAACACAGTGCTTTGATAGTGGCAGTAGACTGCTGTGTCTGGGATAATCCAGTCTGTCTTCAAGTTTTGCTGACTTTTATAAAAAAATGTATGTAACAGGCCTTTTGTTACTTTGGACAACTTAAAGTAAGGTCTGTGGAAAACAGCCCCTTCAGTAAAGAGTGCCATGTCAAATTGTTTGGTAGTTTTTTTGATGAGAACAAATAGAGACTCATTTTAGGATGAGCTAATTTTCAATTGTGAGCAAGGTCAACATTTAGGATTTGAACTCAGGGCTCCCAAAGTAAATTGCATATGCATTAATCGACGATATGACCATTTGCACATGTAGGTGTTTATTAAGATGTATTATGAATTTTTTCTTTGTTAAACAGTAGGCAACCTCAAGAATCTGATAGTTCACTGTTCCAAAATCAGGCAAGAAAATTTTCTGATGATTTAAAGAGGATTTATTGGCATTGCTAGTTTTGCAGTCTCATTACCAAAATTCATGTTTCTCAAAAAGTTTTATTTATATTTTCTGGCATTTTTCCTGACTTTTTAAAAAAACTTTATATATTTATGTGTGTGAACTTCTCTTCATTGCTGGTTTAACAACATCCCCCATACCACTGTGTAGTTCAATACCATACATCTTGTCAGTTTGACTAGAATGAACTGTGATGGATACTAAGAAACACACACAAACATGCATATCTCACAGTTACCTGATATCTCTTTGGAACTTACTTCTTTATCCACAGTAGGATGAGCACAGGCATCTATTTTCTTAAGGAACTTATCCAAAGAGGAGTTTAATGTCTGTGCCTGCAAATTGGAGTTTGCCACCTAGAGTAGAAGCAGATTTTAGTGGAATAAAACCTCAAACATTTATAGAACCATCAAAAGATTTCTCCAGGAAGAAGCAAGCACAGAGGTTTCAGATCCTCATGAAAAAGCACAATATTTATTTTCAAAGAATAAGAATACTGAATCACTGGTACCCAAAATGGAGGCCAAATTCAGTCATTCATAACAGCAGCACTTTTTTCATTAATTATATTGGATCAAGCAGATGGCTGGACTTTTTAGTTGTAGGTGATTAGAGTGAAGTGCTGCAAACCCAGGATGTGATCCTACTTGACTACAACAGGAGCAGGATTGGGTTCCACATCCCAACATTCAACGCTGGCAATGGCAGAGGACAACACAGTCCTTACTTAAATAATAAATAAAAATCTTATACCTATGTCCCATGAGTGTGTTTGCCTCCGCCAGCCCAGACAAAACCCTTCTGGAGAGAATAAATGAGATATATATAAAAGATTGAGATTTAGTTTTAGTTCAAATTCGGGAAATTTCATTTGTACCTCTGATTTGATTTTCACTTGTAGATTTGTTAGAAACCGCTGGATTTTCTCTATGAAGAGACGATCCACTGCAAGATTATGGAATTTCGTTTCAAATTTGTTGATAATCTCAGTAGCCTTGAAAACAAATGCCAAAAATTAGCAGATAAATCAGGAAATAAACCTGTCCTTCTTAGGCTTTAATTATAGAACTTAGCATTTATATAATGATTTGTCCATTAACATTAATTGCACTGAAGAAAGTCTCACAACCAAATCTAGGAACAGAGGGGATTAGAAAAGTTTCACTAGGTGCAGCCAGGAATTTGAACACTAGAAGAGTATGAAGCTCTACCCACTTGTTCTAAATAATTTGACTCCATTTTCTCCATATCAATCATGATTAAGCCTTCAATGAAGTCAATACGTCCTGATTCTTTCTCCAGACTTTTACAGAAGAACTCCGCCTCGTCTGGAGAAAAGTTACCTCCCTCTGAAAATAATCTGCAAACAAAAGGTGAGAAAAGAAAGTAATTGTCTAGGGTTCTTCAATCTCCCCTCAAAGAATCTGTGGCAAAGCAGTCCCTATTATATATATTTTCATAGGATAAAAATACCATTATAATACTAATAGCATATATTTTGAAAAGATTAACTTTAATTTTATTGTGCTGACTTGACAAATTGCAGAATTTAGGTAAGGAGACAAGGAGGGAGGGAGAGAGAGAGGAATAAAACTGTACATATTTGGTGAACAGAGATTGCTACAGGAACAAAAACATTCACATCTCCCTCCCCCTTATACCTGCAAGCTTTCAGAAAGTCCACATTTGAATCTCTTAGTTTCCCCAAGGCTTCATCTAAATAGTTCCGGTAACTCCGCAGTGATACCTGGATAACTTCTACATGATTAAGCAGTTCGGAGTGCAGAGAGTTACTTAGCGCAACCAACCTAAAAGCAAATGACAAACCACAGCTTATTCAGGGAAATCAGCAGACACTCCTTTCCAAAGGCTGGGGTCTGGAGGTTTAATCAGTCTGCTTCTGTTTCCCTTTCATTACAAATGTTTTGATGTGGCAGCATATAGCATATACACTAGTAGCCATCACTCAACCTTACTTAACATGACCCTCATACAGGTGTTAACATAACCTAGCTTGTCAATTACTACTAGCGTCCAAGGTAGGTAGCCTGGCTGAAATCTGAATATATGACACAAGCTTTTCCTACTGTATTCTAAAATTATTATAAATTTCACCACTGACTTTAGTTTCTTAGCTAGGAGATAAAGAAATCTATAAGATGCTTTATTTTGCCTCTTCATATTTATGGGCCTAGTTTACACTGGGGCTATGTCTACACTACAAGTTTTTTTGGCAGAAAATAGTGAATGAGGGACTCATTAACATAAGTCATGCCATGATTAGCATATGTTCTGCTGTTTCTTTTTGCGCAAGGGGTTTCTGCGCAAAAATGGCTCAGAATAGATTATGCAAATGAAGCGTGACAAAATGCTAATCAGCGCTTCATTTGCATTGACTCTTCTGGCAAAAACTCACAGTGTAGACAAAGTTTGGGATTTTAGTCTGAACACAGCCACATTAGGTTGAATTTCTAAATAATAAGTCCACTCTACCAAGACTGTCCGTCGACTTTAAGGGCAGCTAAAATTGATTTTGGTACTCCTGCTTTTCATGAGTAATGCTAAATTCAACCTTGCATGGGTCACATGACTGTACATTAGACAAAAGAATTAGGTAAAGAGTGTCCCACTCAGAGTCATGGACCACCTGAAAAAGAACTGGACAATAATTATAAAGAATCTTAGGTCAAATGTTCATACCTTAAATGAACTGTGTGGCAATGAAATAGTAAGATAAAACGTTTCAAACTATCCCAGTGGGAGAATGACAATGGTATGTGCTGCTATTCAAGAATTCTGGGATAAGGCAGATTCAAGATGCAGTCCACGAGTAGGAAACTACACAAATGATGAGACTCACAACGTGCTTACTTGTCAGCTTTAGTGGAACTGAGGAAGATGGTCTCCATGTCCTGGATCTTTTTGCGGAAGTTCTTGCTGATGTCATTCTGATCCTCTTGGAGTTTCAAAAATGCATTTTTCTCCTTGTTCAGTGCTTCCACCACCCCTGCACAGTGACGTTCCAGACGCTCTTGGTGAAGAAGCAGCTCCGCTGAAAGGAAAGAAGTCCTCTTATATAACCGTCACCTCAAGTTTGGAATTAGCTTGAGCATAACAAAATGACCTATCCTGACTTCCAACACCAGTGACTATGGCTTACTTCAACAACTAGCTGCTATGCTCAGTATGTGGTGTGAAAACATGTAGGATTTCAAGGGGGGGAGGAAAGGTGAAAACAAGCCTGGTAAGTTATCACATCAGTCATAAAATTAGCACTGATAAAGGCAAATTTGCCTCTGTGTACCTGGCTTCCCTCCCATCTCTGAAAGTTTCTCTGACATTTTCTGGATTCATCTCTAACTCAGTATGTTAAAATATGAATTTCTCCTCTTTGCTCCTTTGCTACTCCCTCTCCCTCCTTCTTGGTCACTGCTGATATCTTCACCATCCTTCCCATCACCCAGACTTTCAATCTCCAAAGAGATGGTTAAATTTATTTTCTGAATGATTTTTCAATGGATAATGCTCTTTTTGTAATTCCATTAGGAAAATAATTCTCAGCTTTCTGCCTGAAGGAGAGCTGCAGCCAAACTTGTGGGGGAAGGAGGGTGGTTGAAAAATCTTGGCTCTCCATCTGCTCATTTCTCTTAAAGTACCACTGCCTCTATGAAGGGAAAGCAGGAAGGTTGAAAGACAGGGAGGCAGAGAGGTTGAGCTATGGATATGGGAGGAAAAGAGACATTGACAAGTACCTAGTTGTGTAACACATTATTTATGATGTAACATTAAAATGGCACAGAAGGTGTTGGTCTTGAGACTCTAATTTTCACTTCTGCCAAAGGACCTGGAGTAACTGATTAGACAGCTAATGTAGAGGGTTTTATTTTTTGTCTCAAATTGAGATGTTAATTTTTTCCCACACCTTAGAATTTTCCACAAGACAGAAATTTCATTTTCCAGAGAGCTCTAATCATCAGTGATATTTTCAGTACCTCAGTCCTTCTCTTCCTATATGCAGGCTCTTGTTAAGCTTTGTCACTTCATTCTCGAAAACAATTCTAAAATGACCCTTTTTTCTTCCGTCTGCCATGCCAAAACCTTATTAACTGCATTTCAAAGGTACCAAGCAGCCACTGGTCCTACTGACTTCAGTGGGACCTGAGGATACTTGTTATTAATCAGTTCAGAGAGCAATGCTTCAGATTCAGTCAATCAGTTCAGATTCAGAGATGAATCTCTTACTAATATGTAAACCAGGAGGAAACCAATCTGAGTTACATATAAAGGAAAGTTAAAACCCCCCAGAATATGTAAGAACCAACAACTTCATGTTCGGCTCTAGAAAAGTCCCCTTGAACCTACATTATCCCCCAATACTCAATCAATTAGTGCTAGCCACTGCTGTGCCAGATGATGAGTCACACCTGTGTAGTTCTAAAATCAGAGGTGCGATACCCAAAGTAAATATACGTACCAGCCCTGACATTATGGATATCCTTTTCTATGTTCTCGCGCCTTGGCTGATGCATATGAAGACGCAGCTGTAATTCTGAATTCAGCTCCTCTTTCTTGGAAGTTACAATGATCCAGGAGTTGGACATGGATTGGGTAAACCATTTCTCGAGGTGCTCAAAAAAGCAGAGGCGGATCCTATGATTGAAAAGCAAGCCTATTACTTTGGGACAGAGTGCATGTGTGTGAGAGAGAGACAGCAGATTTCATTTTGCAGACAGATTCTTCAAAGATTTTAGTAAAAAACCCAAGCTCTCGGATGTCTGACTCCACTGGGATAAGGTTTTTTACCAGTTGCACAATACTGACACACCTCTTTCAACCAAACACAACTAATGTTAGCCTGTGCAACTTGCTATTTTGTCATCTTTACAGAATCTCACTACAATCTTCTTGCCATGGATTTCTTGGATATAAAAAAGCAACTGGTGAAATACAGAAGAGTTGGTGTTCCATCAAAATGAAGGGTAAGAAAAAGGGCTTGGAGGGATAGGGTTTAGAAATTAGAGCAAGGAACTGGAAGTCAGGTGCTTTTGGTTCATGGCTCTGCCAGTGCTTTGTTTTGTGACTGGACAATCCAATAAACTTTCTGTGTCTCAGTTAGTCTTTAAAATAAGGATAAGATCTTCCTCATACATATGCCATGAGGCTTAAATATTTGATAGAATGCAATAGAAAATGTTTCTTATTATTTTTTGAAAAGGTCATATAAAGGGGTAGTTTTCAGATAACTTTTGCATGCTCATTCAAACTTTTCCTCCAAACTTTCTGAGGTTTGCCAATTACTTAGGAGAAAGAAAAAAAAAGGACAAAGTATACTCTACTAACCGCTTCTTAAGCTCTGTAAACAAGCTTTCTGGCATAATAACATTCTCCAGGTGCACAGGAAGTGCTTTTTCTGAAAATTCAGCACAAGTCTCAGATGTCTTGGTCTCGTCTATCTGAACATGTCCAAGGACTGAGTAAGTATTCCCACTAGAAGTGGTAAAGATCTCAGCAATTACTTCACAGCTTTCATCTTCAACATAATCATGGAACAGAACCTAGGAAAGTAATAGGAAGTCATCATCGGTTAGATTTGCTACTGATAAGTTTTTATAAGCAAAGACCTATTAACATGGGTTATATACACAGATTAATGTTGAGAACCTATGGATTTCAAGAATCATGAGCCATGTCCTGAATCCTAATTTGGAAAACAGATATAATGAGCAAGCAAGTTTGTGCATCTCAGCATGCTGCCATTTTGCTCTTAGCCTAGCATTCTTTGTGCAAGGCAAAAAGTAGCAGGTGGCCATTTCATTTTCTTAACTCTACAGAGTCATAGAGAACATCCTAGTACTTCAGGGTGGTCATTAGCTTGAGCTCAGTAGCTCTGGCAGTGTCTCCAGGAACAGTACAAATGAAACTTTACAGCATAGCCAGCAAAACATCTGCATGGCTTGGACTTTTTAAAATTACTTTATTAAGATGCTCTAGATACAGATATATCCTCTTCACTGAGTTATTATTATTATTATTTCAGTCGCCTTGAAATATGAGTAATAAGTGCTCAGATAGATGAACTTAAGGAAGTATAGTTTCACTACAGATTTTGAAACAAAAAACAGGACTATGTAGCACTTTAAAGACTAACAAGATGGTTTATTAGGTGATAAGTTTTCGTGGGCCAGACCCATTTCCTCAGATCAAATATGGTTGATGGATTTCCATTCACAAATTTTGTAATTGCTTTTGTAGGGTTTTTTTGTTGAAATGATCTTTTGTAACTTCTTAGCGTTTCCTACGTGATCCCTATATCCTCAAAGCAATATTACAATTGAAACTAGTTTTTCTTTCTGTCATTTAAAAACACACAAAGCAGAGAGTGATTTTCAGATCAGACAACATCTGCAAAATGCCTACTCATTCCCAGTTGGGTTGACCTAACAGGATCATTAATGCCAAGGAAGGATTCCAGTTCAGGATTTTGCAGCTGAAATGTACAGAACACGCAGGGCAAGGTCAGATATGAGATGAGGGACACTAATTAGTTAACTTTCCTTTAATGTCTTGCCACCAACTGGCAACTATTCAGAGGTTACCCCACTGACATAAAAGGCTCTCTTACATTGAGACACTGACCATTAGGTCTTCCACTATGCACAGACCTGAAAAGGAAACAATGAGCTATAGAGATAGTGTGGATGCAGGAACAAAACAGACCCCTATTGGAAAAATCTCTTTTCAGCTGTTGCTTTGAAAAAGGACAGGAAAAGTGCATGAGGAAATGGTCATGCACTCATGAATGGGCTTCACCATCTCCCATACAGAATCTACAGCTGCTCTAAATCTCTAATGGTACATATTATAGAACAGCACCAAACTAATGCAGTAAAGACCCACATCTGTCTTGGCTGTATAAACACCAAAAAGGTTTGAATTTGTGCTGAAACTGATTTACCTTTCTGAAGAAATTGAAAGATTTATCCAGCATCACTTGGGTTTTTAGCTCAATGTTTGTTTTTCTCTATTTATATCACTTATATCATTGTGCTAGGGTGGGGCTGGGGAGGAGGGGTTCAGTATTCAGGCTTCTCTAGGGAGAGAGGACTCGATAGCCCTCTCTCACCGCAGCACCATGGGGCCAGCTGTTCATAGCTGCTGCAAAGGTCATGGCCAGGGGAGGGGTGTATGTCCTCCAGCTTGGACAGGTGCAGGTTCATCTGCCCTCCTATGCTCCTAGCCAGAGTGAGGAATGCTGCAAACTGTGCACTTTTCCCTTGCTTCCTTATGAAGGGGAACAGCCAACGAAATTCTCGTATGAATTGGGGAGGGGAGAGGAGCTTCAGGCCCCTTCATCCTTCCTAATTCTGGCTGTGGCAGGTCCAGGTTTGTCTGCCCCCTGTGCTCCTCAGCCAGAATGAGGAATGTAGCAAACTGTTCGCTTTCCTTAATGAAGGGAAACACCCACCGATGTTCCATTTTGAAATAGGTGAGGGGACCGCCAGCCTTCTCCGCTCTCCCTAAAGGGTGCCTAGGGGGTGGGAGACTCAGGGCTGGGGCAGTCCTGGACAGAGGGACACATCCCCAGCCAGTCCATGTCACCTGCCTGGTGATTCTTGTCTCTTTTCTGTTTAGTTTTATGAGAACCAATCCCATTCCAGACACATCCCATTTTCCTGGCACAATCAAACCCTTACCTTGCTTTAAGTTATGATAGGGGAAGCTTATTTAGTGGTTTTAGCTCTTACCATTTAGGAAGAGTTCTTGAACAGACAGATGGACACATGGATTGACAGACAGATGGACTCTCAAATATACAGTAAACAAGTAGATTTACCTGGCAATTGCTCAGTTCCTTAACTCTATTAAGGTTTTTTTTTTTAAATAAAAGGAAAATGCACATGCTTTATTTAAATGATTGTATTTTTCCAAAATACAGTGTTATTTTTATGAAGTTAATTTTTATTTCAGATTTTTTAAAAAAAGGATTGTTAAAATTTTTAATTTCTTTAGTATTTTTAAATGGGAATTCCATCAAGTGTATGTTTTCCCTCATCCGTATTAATTCTTATCATTTGCTATGTTTTAATAAAAAAGGGTTGCCCCTCAATTTTGTTTCCAATAACATTTTCCAATAACATTTTCTTCTAATTTTCAAACCTTAAGCATTGATTTAGCTGTGCCAAAACAGAGCACTATTCCAGACTGTATCTTTTTCTGTAAGGTTCATTGAGAAACAATCCTATTCCAGGTTCATCCTAGTTTTCTGGCTCATCCTGGTTCAATCTCTTTCAATATTTGCCCAGTTATGTATTTGATGTGGTGATTCTGTCTCTTTTCTGTTTGGTATTATGACAAGCAATCCCACTCCAGGCACATCCCGTTTTCCTGTAACAACCAAACCCTTTCATTGCTTTAAGTGATGATAAGCGGAAACTGAATACCATATTTGGTGGTGCTAGCTCTTACCCTTTAGGAGGAATTCTTGATCAAACAGACAAAGAGACAAACTCTGTAAAATATATAGTAGGTTAGACCTACCTCACACTCAGGAAGAATATCTTTAAAATAATCGGTTTCTTCATACTCTTGTGCAGGATTGTCTCCATCCTCAAACCTATTTACTTCATTTTCTACACTGTCATCTAACTTTTCACTTTCTTCCCTTTCTGGGGCTGTGCTTTCCACATCCTCTGGTTTTTTTTCTTCCTCAATTTCTTGTACAATGCTCTCCTCATTCTCAAACGTATTTGTTTCTTCAGTTTCTTTTGTCAGACTCTCAGCCTGTCTCAGACTGTTGCTCCGTTTCTTCAGTTTCTTGTAAAAGGCTATCCCCGGTTATCTCTGGCGTATTTTCAACTTCTGAGTCTTCAGCAAATACTTCCCAATTAAAATAAGATAGAAATATCAGTAGCCATAGAAGTACATATTGAAAAAAAAAAGACTTGGATTCTTGAGAGATTACCTTCTTCTTCAAGTGCAGAGCCCATCTCTCCTGCTAAGTTCTAGAAGAAAAACAAAGGTGACAATTTACTTGTTTAAAACAACATTAAGTTCACTTCTCTTTCCAAAGTTAATCTACTCCATTCCTATTTGAAAATTTAAAGTAATACTTTATTATTAAAAGGAACTCATTTCTAAAATGTAATCCAGAGTTGGATGATTTTAAATTATATTTTAAAACAGAAAAATTATAAAAGTGAAGTTGTTAAAACATAGGCCATTGAAATGACAAATCTGAGAATAGAATAAAAGTAGGTACAGTGTGGGCAGATGATGCAAAAAGCTCCCTCCCTCAGCTCTGCCAATGAACCTCAGTCCTCTGGTGGCCAAAACTCTTTCATTTGATTTAACTTTTGATAGATCAAATCTTATGAATTTGAATGCAAGTTCCCCAAAAATGAAACAACAATGCACCAGCCAGATTTTAAATCATAAGAAAGTTTGTTTTTATACCTGTTTATAGACTTCCTTCACGCCAAAATACTGGCTTATGGATGCACTATAAGAAATCAATTCCTTCAGTATAGCTTCTGGGTAGGATGTTACTATCTTCACTAGATCTTGGTGAAAGGCCTCATACCTGTCAAATATCAGGTCACTATTTAAGAGAAATCATTACATAATGTACTAAAAATTAAATGTGAACATCATACACACTTGCATCTAATATGTGATCTAGAAGTGAAATAATAGGCATAAATAACTTTCTTGACCTATGCAGTCTCACTACCCAAGATTTTGACTTTCCAGAGCTACTGCAATGTACTTGTGATTAAATCATTAATGTAATATGATAGCATGTCCTGGACTAGCTTAGCACAATACAGAAAACTAATGATGTAAACCTAAGAAATTCAAATGAAAGAAATGTTTAAAAATCCCATAATTATTTGTTGTTTCCTCCCAACTCTTTAAAACAGGTGGCGTTTTGCACCAATAGTTTTTTGCCCATGCAGAGCAAATGCAATAAGACAAGAGAATACATTATTTAACATCAGTTTTCTTGAAGGGGAAATAGCTAGTGCAATTTTGGCTTTTGTACAAACACATTCAAAATGCAACACAAATGTGATTGGAATGGTCTTATCAAGCTTTGGACATCCTCCACTCAGGCTTTGTCTACACTGCCGAGTTTAAAGCACTCCTGCGGCAGCCCTTTAATGTGGCAGTGTGATCATGTCACCAGTGCTCTAGGTAAACCGCTTGCACAAGGGGAGTAGATAACAGTGTTGGGAACCTGTTACACTGGCAATTTATAGTACTGTAACTTGCTGTGCTCAGGGATGTGGTTTTTTCACACCCCCGAGTGAGAAAGTTACAGTGCAGTAAACACTATAGACAAGCCCTCAGAAAGTTTATTGCATTTTCAACAATTCTGAATACATACCCAGCTTTAATGACATCCAGAAAAGCAAAGGCCTTTCCCAAAAGATTTGTCAGCTTATTTTCAGAGCTTTGTGTTCTCATTTTGTCCAAAGTTATATCCAGATTAGCTTCCCTTATCTAGGCCCATATGAAAAGAAAAAAATAAGCATAGAGCTGTAAGAAGTACAAATGTTTCAGATTTAGGATTCAAGTAATTAGTTTAATATACATTTTTTTACATATATGTACATAATTGCATATTAGATGGCACTTTAAAAGGGCATTACTACGTTAAAAGGCTCAAAATTTGATCTATCTTGTCTCCAATTCCTTCTGTCTATTTAAGACAATAGGTATTCTCCCAAATCAGAGGCATTAATGCCCTTTAAAAAGAATCAGTGATAACAGCACTGTGTGTGTTTGCCCAAGCATGCAAGAAAGGGAATAATGGAAGGAAAATAATATATTTATGGAAACAGAGTTTTGCATTCAAGCACCTATTATAAATAGCTAGCACATGCCTTGTGGGTGTTACATGCATTTACTCTATGGCTATTGCTCATTTGTAATCACATTTGTAACTGGCCAAAGCAAGTGATGTGAATCCCAACTGAACAAAACTATTCACTGCGGACAGGCACTCCAGTGAACAACAGGAAGAGCCAAAGACTCATCTCTGCTGCTAGAGGAAATAGATACCTCTGCTACCTCGAGTCTGACTGATGCCTGGGCAAGTGGCTCAGAAGCATAGAACACTAGAACTGGAAGGGACCTAGAGAGATCATTGAGTCCAGTCCCCTACGCTCATGTCAGCACCCAGTACTGTCTAGACCAGTGTTTCCCAATTTTATTTGGCCACGGAACCCTTTTAACCTCAGAAGAATTTCAAGGAACCCCTATAGCCGGGAGGGGGGATTTGTCAAGCCAAAAAAAAAAAAAAAACCAAAACCTCCGAAAGTTGTTGAGAGCACACCGGCTCTGTCTCTTTAAGAGGGGCAGCAGGTGGTGATCAGGTTCTCGCAGAACCCTTACTTTCACCATTTGGGAAACACTGGCTAGACCATCCTTGACAGATGTCTAACCAACCTGCTCTTAAATATCTCCAGAGATGGAGATTCCACAATCTCCCTAGGCAATTTATTCCAGTGTTTAACCACCCTGACAGTTAAGAAGTTTTTCCTAATGTCCAAACTAAACCTCCCTTTCTGCAGTTTAAGCTCATTGCCTCTTGTCCTATCCTCAGAGACCCCCTCCTCCTTGTGACACCCTGAAAACCGCTATCATGTCTCCTCTCAGTCTTCCCCTTTCCAAACTAAACAGCCCAATTCTTTCAGTCTTCCTTCACAGGTCATGTTCTCTAGACCTTTAATCATTCTTGTTGTCCTTCTCTGGACCTTCTCCAATTTCTCCACATCTTTCTTGCAATGTAGTGTCCAGAACTGGACACAATACTCCAACTGAGGCCTAATCAGCACAGAGTAGAGCGGAAGAATGACTTCTCGTGTCTTCCTCACAACACATCTGTTAATGCATCCCAGAATCACGTTTGCTTTTTTTGCAACAGCATCACACTCTTGATTCATATTTAGCTTGTAGTCCACTATGACCCCTACATCTCTTTCTGCAGTACTCCTTCCTAGGCAGTCACTTCCCATTTTGTATATGTGAGACTGATTGCTCCTTCCTAAGTGGAATACGTTGCATTTGTACTTATTAAACTTCATCCTATTTACCTCAGAACATTTCCCCAGTTTGTCCAGATCATTTTGAATTATGACCCTATCCTCCAAAGCAGTTGCAACCCCTCCCTGCTTTGTATCATCAATACACACTCTAATAAGCATACTCTCTATGCCAATATCTAAATCGTTGATGAAGATACTGAACAGAACTGGTCCCAAAACAGACTCCTGCGGAACCCCACTTGTTATAACTTTCCAGCAGGATTGTGAAACATTAATAACTACTGTCTGAGTATGGTTATCCAGACAGTTATGCACACACCTTATAGTAGCCCCATCTAAGTTGTATTTGCCTAGTTTATTGATAAGAATATCATGCGAGGCTGTATCAAATGCCTTACTAAAGTCTAGGTATATCACATCCACCGCTTCTCCCTTACCCACAAGACTGATTATCCTATCAAAGAAAGCTGTTAGATTGGTTTGATATGATTTGTTCTTTACAAATCCATGCTGGTTGTTACCTATCACCTTATTATCTTCCAAGTATTTGCAGAGGAATTCCTTAATTACTTGCTCTATTATTTTTTCTGGCACAGAAGTTAAACTGACTGGTCTGTAGTTTCCTGGGTTGTTCTTATTTCCCTCAGATCATCTATCTACTCCACTAGTATTTGAAAATTTAAAGTAATAATTAATCATTAAAAGGAACTCATTTCTAAAATGTAATCCAGAGTTGGATAATTTTTAAGAATAATTTTTCTGTTTTAAAATATAAGTGAAATTGTTATAACACAGACCATTGAAATGACAGATCTGAGAATAGATATTGGCATAGAGAGTATGCTTATTAAGTTTGCAGATGATACAAAGCTGGGAGGGGTTGCAACTGCTTTGGAAGAAATGATCTGTACAAGTTGGAGAAATGGTCTGAGGTAAATAAGACCATCAGGATCAAAATATTCAAGATTCTAATGGGTAGAATCTGCCCAGTCAGATAACATGTGAGAACACTTTTGTCTCATTTCCCTTCCAGAATGTTTGGCCTGGTAAATTCAGCACTAACTCATCTACCTTTCATTAAGTAGCACTAACTCATCTACTCATCTACTTTGGGGTTCTCTCAAGCATGGTAGAAGTGAGATTGACTGATCAACAACAGACATTCAGACTAGGCTTCTATATCCAATAATTCAGTCATCATCAAAACTAAATGCATGCCCTGCTGAAGGCACAGGGAGATCTGGGAGAATGCACAAGATATCCCAGAATGATTTTACACATAGAGGGGACGCTATGCTGCTTTCTCTACAGAAAATTGGCAAGTATGAAAATCACTAAAAGGTTTTTAATAATGGCTTGAAAATATTCTTTCATCAAGCCACAGAACACAAATATGATGTGATAACTCGATATACATGCATGGTTGTGTAGCTGTATAAGATTTTCCTTGTGAATGTGCATGCAATTGTATATGAGTAATAACAAGTTTATAGTTGTTAGAGCTGGAAAATACCAATTTAGATACATGTGGTCACTGCCCTGCCAAGAATAAAATATTGTACACATCCTCTGATATTTGACTAATGCATATAGCAGATGCAACCACTTCCAAACACAGAAACCATTAGAAACACTCCCAATTTATCTTGTGCTTTTTATAAAAAGAGATTGTTTAAATGCCAAAAGCATCTTTTTTGCTAATAAGTGCTTCCTTTATACCACACCAGTGTTTTGGACTTTTGATTGTACCTGATTTAGGTTTTCATGTTTCTGCCGGCACTCATTCAGTTTCACCTGAAGTTCATTTTCTTGCTGGGACAGATTGAGTTGATGTTCATCCCAGAGGACAATAACTTGCTGGAAATATTTGTACAAGTCTTTGCAATTCTGTTCAACACATTTAGCCAGATCTTCAAAGTCTCGCTAAAACAGCCAAATGGATAGAACAAACTATATTAAATTATTATTAGACTGTTATTGGAAATAGAGAGTTGCAGGGGAATGCTGACTTGCCAGGACTGTCTAAAGAAATCCTACAGTTACCCAATAAAGCGGAAGGTGCATCAAGAATCAGAAAACACCATCTTTTTTTAGGTCACTACCATCCATTCTGTTATTGCAACTGTGCTAATGGGAATTACATTAACATCAACATTGCCCAACGTAGGAATATAATGTCTAGTAGTACCACTTTCAATGACATATCATACAATTAGAAAATAGGACCACAATGCTGTTTGGAAATTGGAAGCCTTTACATGGAAGCCTCATACCATGACAAAGAGCAAGGTATGAGAACCTAGAGAGAGATACAGACCTGAGAATGTGAAAGAACAATTGCATAGCCTATGAATTTGGGCTACTCTTTTTTCCTTTCCTGCAAATTCAGTGAAAATTTTTCTTACCACCAACAAAATCTAAAACAAAGTGTCAAAGTGAATGAGCATTGTACATCACTTTGCAGATTATAATATTTATAACTGATATATACACACTATGATGTTTTGTTAGTTCAAGGCAATGGATGGAAAAATAGCTAACATCTAAAAGTCACGTGTATATACACATCAAAATAAAACATTCATATGGCTAAAGCTCAGGCCATTTACCAAACAAAATAATGGCTAATGCTGGAAGATAATACAGAAAATTCACCTCTTTTCCATTATAAAATAGCAGAGAATTACTACGGGTTAAAAACAACAGCTAGTGTACACAAATAGAAGAGATCAACAAAATAATATCTTGTATTTATATATCATGTTCCATTTTATGATCTCTAAGGTCACACAACAAATTAGTGACAGTCAGAAATAAAACCAGATTGCCTAATTCCCAGCCAATACTTCAGCTAAAAGACCATCTATCCTTCACAAGAGTAGCAACTACAAAGCATTAGCCTTATTTAGCCATCTAGAACAGGGCTACTCAACACTTGGCCCCTTTGTTTGCGGCCTGCGGTGCAGTTTGGGTTACACGGGGCTCAACACATGGAACACTCTCCACAACGATGAGGCGTCTCCCAGGTAGGGTGAGCATTGAAAGACGCAAGTGGACGGGCTGGCTGGAACAGACGGGTGCAGGGTGTTGGCATTTCTAGCAGCCAGGGAGGAGGTGCCAGGAGTGCCAAGGCATTGTGGGAAGTGCTGGCTGCTTAGCCATGTGGGCAGAGCCTGAGAGGTGCTGACTGACTTACAATGGCCATGTCTGGGTCTGGTACTGCAGCTTAAGGCTTAATCTTTGTCTGTCAGTGTGAAAGAAGCTATTTGCATATATATGTGCATGTATATGCCACCACACTTAATTTGTGGCCCTCGGCATGTACTGTATCGTATCGTTGTGGCTTCCAAGAATTCCAAAGTTGAGTAGCCCTGATCTAAAACCTTGAGCACAAACAGGCCAGTTCTTTTCATATATAGTCACTATAAAAGTCAAAACAAAAGTTATGAACTACCATTCAATCTCCTCAAGTTCCCTGTTTACACTATAAGCAGTCAATGATAATATGGCACACTAATGGGGCATCAATAGAATGATGAAATGAAATGTAATATTTTAAACCAGTGTAGGCTGTAGGATAGATGTTAGATTTGATTATTTCCAGGATGTAAGAAAAAGAATGGCCTTTGTAAACATACATCCATCTGTTCCAGCTCTCGTTCAAACCGACACTGCAGCTTCCCAACCATTCTGAAGAAGTCAGGATTCACAACCTTTTCAGCCTCTTTCTCTGTGCAAACTTTTAAACTCAACAATTTATTCTAAAGAAAAGGAATATTAAGTTATTGACGTGTGCAAACAACCATGTTGTGTCAAGATATTAGAAAGATAAAGTAGATGAAGTAATATCTTGTATTGGACCATCTTCTGCTGGTGAAAGAGACAAGCTTTTGAACTATAAAGAGCTCTTCTTCAGGTCTGGACCAGTAACTCTATGTAAGTGCATACATAGCTGTGTTTTTTTTAACAATGCACCATACTCTAATAAAATATTTGTTAGAGAGACAAGATGGGTGACATAATCCCTGGCATCCCAGGTATTAATTTCTTTTGAACTGGTAGATTTAGAAATAAACATCCAATCTCAGCATCTTTTCCTGAAGAAACCATCAGTTGAGGACAAATGAAGCTAGGTATAAGCAGTGGATGTGCAAGGTGAGAAGTTGTGTACTCCTCCATTAGTAAGAGCACTAAGTCTTTGATGACATACTGTTTATAAGAATCAGTGACAGTTTCAGAAAATGAACGCCTATGTTATTTGAGTCCCATGATTAAACTAGAATGACAAGAAAACTGTAAATAATTAATTCTTTGTATTGACATATTGTCTCTGTCATCCAAAGCTCTCAAATCTCTTTACAAACATTGATTTAAGCCTCAACCTTCCTCACCCATGCAGTAGATAAGTGGCATTAGCCCCATTCTCGATATGGAGAAATTGAGACACAGAGCTTAAATGTTTTCCCCAAACAAGGCTATAGAATGAACCAACAGCCATGCTGGGGTCATGACCCTCAGTCTCCAAGCTTATGCAGTTGACTCTCTTCCCTCCACTAAATTAGTATTAGTAGTTACATTCTACATATTCCAAATACAAATACCACATGTTATTATGTAGAAAAATGCACAACATATAGGATAGGAGAGACCAATTTGGATTGTCATGCCAAAATAGTGGGTCTCAAACTAGATATTATATTGGATGATCTGCTGCTACCAAAATCCTTCATTGGATCTCCAAATTCAGCAACTTTCAATCTCATGACACCAACCTTGCATAGCTGTATATTGGCCAAACATTCCTGGCAAACTCTCTCATACTGGATGCGAATTACCATCATATGCTGTACATTTTGGGTGTCTTTAGAAAAGAAAGAAAGGAAATAAGAGTCAAGTGTGAAGACTTCACCTTTTCACATAGTAGCACATGGAAAAATCAATGTACAGTCATGTCTAGCTTCACTCTACCCTGATGGAATGCTTGACACTCATGTATGGCCAACAACTCGTAGGCTGCCTCTACCCAAATCTTTTTGACATTATGCTTATTAATGGTGGTTTACTATTTTTTATTACAGCCCAACACTGTTTGTGAAGCTATACCAGTTACCAATATCAAGATAGTTCTTGCCTGGAAAGTTTACAGGTTAGAAGACACATATATAGAAAGACAAGGCATAATGCAAAACTTAGAGGAAGGAATCACTTTTTTCTCATTCTAAACAGAAAAAAAAATCCTGAAAGACCAAGAGCGGGGCAGCATATTTATGTATAGATGCAGGGTACAATTCAATCATGACCTTAGAAATAAAATTATTGCTTCAATCTCAAGTCATCATGGTGAATTCCTTGCTTACCGATATATTTGTTTAAAGCCACAAGCGATTCGTACCATTCATTTATCTCGGCTTTTGAATGTGTTGGAGGCAAAAGATCACTATTAAAATAGAAAAGAAGTGACACAATTTCATACATAATCCATTCCAGTTCTCAATGGGTTAAAGTTGTGAAGTAATATGACAACACATTTTCCACATTTTGTTTCTCAGAAGACATATTTTCAGCTAAATCAGCAAGGCGCAGCCACAGGGTTGGCTGCAATATCAGCAAAGAAGCTGCTTTCTAGAAAATGGGTGAATTGTTATCTGTTTAGTTGCTATATTACCAGTAATATTAAAGTGAAAAGGAATCATTATTTTAAAATTACAGTATTTTAATAAGTTTTACCGAGGTAGCCAAGGTAGTTTGTTTCAGCAAAAAACAATACGGAGCTTTTGGCACTTTAAAGACGAATGAATGTATTAGGGTATTAAATTTGTTACTCTTTAAAGTGCTGCCAGAATACTTTAATATGCTCTACACGTAGCAACTTTTCTTTTTTAGAATGGAGAGAGTCCCAGATACACAATATGAGATTTCCTTTGTCTCGTCTGCTGATTATTTACTATATTCTAAAGTTTCACACCATTCCCATGAGAGGCACTCACATTTTTCAGTCTAGCCAAATTAGGGTTATGGAATTTTCACCTACCCATTCATCCTGACTTGCAACTATATTACATTTTTAGAGCCACTGACTTCTAGTTTTTAGAGTTTTTACATCAGGTCCATTCTGAGAAATTTGGGGCCTGGTATATCATATTCATTGAGTTCCTGACTCCTTCCATTTCACTTTATCTACAAGGATGTTACAGACTTGGGAGGGCGGGGGAGAGGGGAGACTTGAGCTCCAGTCCTTAGTACAATTGTCCCACATTTCCCTCCTCCTTGACATCCCTGTACATTACATTACTACTAGAAGCTACTTTATATTGCTAATAATGAAACATTTAGTAGCCCCTTCATTCAATACAGTCTGCCCACTGAAAATCATGAGCATCTCCTCACGCAGAAAAGATTAAAAATAAGTTTAGGGGCTCACTGAGTACTATCTTGGTTCATTTTACAAATGTCAGACAGGTAGTCTTGTTAGTCTGTAACTTTAAAAATGAGTAGTCATTTGGCACCTTAAAGAATAACAAAAATATTTATAGTATCATGAGCTTTTGTGGGCAAATCCCACTTCTTCAGATGAACTTGACTGGCGAAAAAAAGGGGGACTCTCATAATTTATAACAGAAAAAAAAGTGATAGAAAAAAAAGTACCTGTCAATTGTAGTGCCGGTGCTAATGAGGTTAGTTGAGTGGGCTGGCAGTGCCCCGTATGTAACTTTTGATGTGAATTAGGTGTTAAATGTAAGGAAGGCTGGTTTTATAATGGGCCATCCAGTTAATATCTTTCTTCAGGCCCAGGAAAACAGTGTCAAATTTGCATATGAAGGTCAATTCCACACTCTCTCTGTAGTTGGCTTGTGAAATTCCTTTGTAGAACAATGGCTACTTTTAAATCCATGTCTGAGTGCCTAGGCAGGTTAAAATGATCCCTTACAGATTTATGTATGTACCATTTCTGATATCTGATTTGTATCCATTTATCCTTTGTCCTAGAGACTGTCCAGTTTGGCCAATGTACATGGCAGGAGTCATTGCTTGCCCTTGATGGCATATATCGCATTAGAGGATGTGCAGTTTTATGAGCCTCTAATGGTGTGGCTTATGTGATTAGGTCCTGTGATGGTGTCATTTGTATAGATGTGCGGACAAAGTTAGCAACAGAGTTTATTGCAGGGATAGGTTCGTGGGTGAGTGTATTTGAGGTGTGATGTGTGGCTGCTTGCAAGAAGCCTGTCTTCCAAGTACTGTGAGAGTTAAGGATCGTTTTCCAGGATAAGTTGTAGATTATCAATGATGCACTGCAAGGGTTTAAATTGGGGGGCTACGTGTCATGACTAGTGGTGTTCTGCTATTTTCATTGTTGAGCCGGTCTTGGTACTCATTCCTGGTACTCATCTGGCTTTGTCAATCTGTTTCTTCTCTTCTTTAAGTGGGTATTTAAGTTTTAAGAATGCCTGATAAAGATCTTGTAGGTGTTTATCTTTTCTGTGGGACTGGAGCAAATCCAATTGTATCTTAGGGCCTGGATGTAAACAATCGATCATGTGATGTGTCTTGGATAGAAGCTAGAGGAATGTAGGTAAGAATAGCAGTCAGTAGGTTTCCATTATAAGGTGGCGTTAATGTAGCCATCATTTCATTTATTTATTTAAAAGTTTTTTTTATTCCACCTCTCTGTTTAAAATATTTGAGGCAGCTATATGGCAATATTCAAGGCGGCTATATGGCTTTATATACACACACACACACACACACACACACACACACACACACATATACACATACACTACAATATACATACAAGACCCCACAGTAGGGGAACAAAAAACCTGCTAATTGTACTGCAGTGTCAAGGAAGTGGATCTGCTGTGTGGCTGTACCAGGCTAAGTTTGCTGGATGGAAATTGTTGAAATCTCTGTGGGTCCATATGATGAAGATGTAATCAATGTAGCATAAGCAGAGGGAGGATGGTAGAGGACAAGAACTGAGGAGGCGCTGTTTGTTGTTCAAAGTAAGTCATAAAAATGTTGGTATATTATGGGGCCATGCAGGTGCCCATAGCAGTGCCACTGACTTCAAGGTATAAATTGTCCCCCATTGGAAATAGTTGTGGATGAGGACAAAGTCACATAGCTCAGCCACCAGGTGTGCTATGGCATCACTGGGGGTAGTGCTCCTGACAGCCAGTAGTTCACCATTGTGTGGAATGTTGGTGTAAAGAGTTTCTATATCCATGGTGGCCAAGATGATGTTTTCAGGAAGATTACTGATGCTCTGTAGTTTCCTCAGAAAGTCAGTGGGCTCCCAAAGGTATGATGTTCAGTGGTGTACTGGAAATATTCTTTCAGACAGAGGTGGAGAAAAAGGCTTCCAGGTCACTGCAGAACCGAATTATGTGTGTGGAAGTGGTGGGGCAGAGAGTCCCCGAGACAGGACAGACTCTTCTATTGGGCTACGAGTGTTGTTGGATAGAATGACAGTGCTGTTAGGTCCGTTGAGGGTACTGGAATTATAGTACCCTGAGGCCGATAGGAGTTTATTGTCCTTTTCTCTCTGTAGAGAAGTAAAGTGATGTCATGTGAAGAAGTGGGTTTTGTCCATGAAAGCTCATGATACTACATATTATTTTTGTTAGTCTGCAAGGTGTCACAGGTAAAATGAACAAGTAGTCAAGCAGAAAACAAGATCCATTATTCACTATAACAAGAATCACTATTTTTTCTGTCTCTTCCTTCATACCAAAGTACTTGCAGAAGCTCCATTCTTTTTCTACTGAGTGAAATCTGCTCCTGCCTCATGTTCTCCAAGTCTCTTTTTACTCTTGGGGGTTCCTGTATCTCCTTGCAGGACATAAATTCTCTGCAGGACACAAGAAACTATTTAAATACAGACATATTTGGAACAATCTGTATCTTGACATCTAAACGTTATTTCGAACTGGAAGATTTATCCGAGGTTGCTTGAGTTATTAAAACACAAACTTTGTTTTTCTTCATTTAAATCATTGTTCTTAGGTGGGGCTGGGGATGAGGGTCTCAGTATGCAGGTTCCCTGGGGAGAGAGAACAACTCAAGCCCTCTCATCACAGCAGCTTGGGGCAAGGTGAAAAGTGCTTGCCTATAGCTGCTGCAGCTGCAGCAGGTACAGCTGGGGGAGGGGTGCATGTCCCCCCCTCTGGGGCCCAAACAGACATGCAGATAAACAGACACACAAACTCTGAAACATATAGCAGATAGTTGTCCCTTTCTCCACCCCTGCCTCCTGCTGGCCCAATGCAGTTATAGCTGTCCCAGTCTCTGGCTCCTTGCTGCCCCCCTGTGGTCATTCATAAGCATAAATATCCTTCCTACCAGACCCCTTCTTTTCCATTTTATGAGAAACAATCAAATTCCAGGCACATCCCATTGTCCTGGCACAACCAAACCCTGACCTTGCTTTAGTGTATGATAAGAGGAAGCTGCATACCAAATTTGGTGGCGTTTAGGAGTTTTTTAACAAATGGACTCACAGTTGGACAGACAGACAAACATTTCTAAATTACATAATAAGACCATGTAGATTTAACCCCAATCACTAAAAGGGAGCATAAATGCCAGAATAATTGCCAGAACACTGTCAGCTTTACAAAGGGAACAGAATCAAAGATCATTTTCTAACAGAAACACAAATGGGGTCTAGTCATTTAGTTGTTTTCCCATTAAAAATATAATCCGTTGCAAAATTATGGACCTGAAACTGCGAACCGCATAGTCCTTTTGTATGATTTTCCAGGCCTTCACTCTCTCTTGCCACTTGAGCCTTTCAGACAGCTCCCTCTTCAGATCTGCCTCCATCAGATTAACAAACAATTTGGCTATTGCCCTCTGATTGGCTAGAAGTGCTTGGTTTATCATCTGTGTATTGGAAGAGCCAAATAGGAATAAAAGGCAGCACAAAGCATACACAAATTTTCCAGCTATAGGTTTTTAATCCAATGCAATGAACTAGAAGAGATTTTTAAAGAGACAGTGGGAAAATGGAGAGTATTTTGTGCAATATAGAACAATCCTCCTAAACTGGGATGACTGATAGGTTTGAAAAACAACACTGAACAAATCAAGAAGTCACTTCCTCTGAAGCTCAAGGTATTAGACAGTGATGACCTTGTCTACAGTCAAGAAGTCTCCCCTAACTGTGGAGATGCAACAGAAGGAGATTTATTGGAAACTGCCAGTTTAGGCTCAGCATTAGAGGCAGGATACTAGACATAATGGCCCAGCTGTATGATTCAGTAAGGTAAATGCTATAAAAATATGTTGAAAGAAAAACCTTCGCACAATATGTCCAGTGAATTACACGAGTGAGCCAACAGCTCTGATATTGATCATATCATTATCAGCACTTACCTTGAGGGAACTGTACATATTAAAAGTGGAGGAAGTTTTCTTTCACCTATATGTTTCAGAATGGAATGATATGTTGAATACTGGAAAATACTGATGCATGCCAGAGATAGAAAATAGCACCTGAATGGAGGAAACTGCAGGTGAAGAAAGTTATGAGAAATGATGATCTAGCTCTTGAATCTTTTTATTGTTATTGAGGTGTGTTAAGTTTGAAAGAGGTAAAAAATGAACACTTCCTGACTGAAAGAGGAATTAATCATGCCTTACAGTGCACAGGGGATATTCTATCCTGCTACTTTCTCTATAGCCTCTCAGACCAATGAATGACAGAATATCAAAATGAAAGATTTACCATGGCTTCAGTATGTATGCACCTGTGAACATCAGAGGGTGAGAGATAAGAAATATCCTCCAGGATCTTGGTATATTTCTTCAGTAAATCTTTTATCTGGAAAACCAAAGAAAAGAGAAACAAGGAAAAGCCCCAAAAGTCAATATTTCTTAAGATAAGTGATCTGAAATAAGATGTTTTGTTTCTTTAAAAAAAATCAGTTCTCTAAAATACTCTCTCATATTATACATTCAAAACTGGATGTATGACTTTAAAAACTACTGTATTTTTCTTCTAAAATTTGATACCTTTAATAAAAACATACTAACTAAAATATTTGATACAAGCATTACTAAAATCAACTGCTTCTCAATATATTTCACCCTTTAGATCAGTGGGTCTCAACCAGGGGTACGTGTAGCCCTGTGGGTACACAGAGGTCTACCAGGGGGTACATCAACTCATCTACATTTTTGCCTAATTTTACAAGCTACATAAAAAGCATTAGCAAAGTAAAATACAAATTAAAATGTCATACAATGATTTGTTTATGCTATTCTATATACCAGGAGTCAGCAACCTTTCCGAAGTGGTGTACCAAGTGGTGTACCAATTTAACCCTCCTGTTCTGAGCTGTATCACTTTCCGAGGGGTGGGAGGGAGGGAAGGGAGGAGCTCTCTCCATTGCACACCCCATGGCCCACATGAGTCAATGCAAACCTTTCTGTGGACCATCAGTTGCTAATGAAAACTCACCATTCATTACATAATTACGCCCACATCATTTTGCTCCCTCTGCAACTGGGGAAAACGGTTTAGTCTAAGTTATTATACAGATTAAGCATTCTAACTTTCTCATGTTAGTTTATCAAACTTCATTTTAAATAATATATTAAAATAATATGTCCAACAGAAAAGCTGTCAATGTTTTCTTCATTATGGCAGGAGTGGGGAACCTTTTTTGGGTTGGGGGTCAGTGACCCACAGAAAAATCAGTTGGGGACCACACAAGTGAGAAGCAAAAAGCTTCTCCCAAAATCCCAAACCCTCTCTGATGTGGCATCCATCTGAGACACCTCACTCCTCTGCTCTCTAGCCTCACAGGGTAAAAGGGAAGGGACAGGAAGAACTGAGGTTCAAGACTTCCCATAGGCAGATTTACTTGTGTGGGGTTCCAGAGTTAGCGAATTTTGTGGATCCGCTTAGGCTCTGGGGTGGGGAAAAAAAAGAGGGGTTCAATGCATGGGACAGGGCTGCCAGTGAATGGGATGGGGTGGGAGGTGGGGTACAGGAGGGGGTGAGGAGGGCAGATTCTTGAAGGGAGTTTGGTAGCAGGAGAGGATGTGGGTATGAGAGGGAGTTTGGGAGCCGGAGTAGGCTGGGGGCAGGGGTAACACAAAAACGGTGAGAGAGTGAGAATGCAGCCAAATATCTAGTTGGGGAAGGAAAGGGCAGCTTCTGCAAAGTAAAATTGTATCCCCCTCACATCTTCCCTCTGCTCCATCCTCCCTCCCCTCAGTCCCATGATCCCCACCCCTGCTTGATCCCTCCTCAGTGCAACCCCCACCCCCTCCCATCCTGCCCCTACATCCCTGTGCCCCCAGTGTACTCACCAGCAGGGCAGCAGTGCTGGGGCAAGGAGAGGTAGCGAGGAGGGGGAGGGAAGTCTCTTCCCTGTCCAGCCCAGCCCAGCCCTTTACCTGCAGCTCTGAGGCTGGGGCAGGCAGAGACCAGGGCTGCCCAGGGCTGGCTCCAGCCCGACCAGGCACAGTGGGGTGCTGGAAAAGGGGCTCCCGCAGCACTGGCTCCCCACTGGGTGGGTGGAGGAATGGGGGGACTGAGTTCCTGCCCCACATGCCAGTAAATATCGGCGGCACGCGTGCTGGGGGTTGCTGACTCCTGCTATATACTATACACTGAAGTGTTAATTACAATATTTATATTCCAGTTCATTTTATAATCACACTAGAAGACTTACCCAACATTGCTCAGGGCCTTCAGGAGAGGGGATGCTGGTGTGAGGGGTGCAGAAGTCAGGGGAAGACTTGGGGATGTGTGTGTGGGGAGGGCTGGAGACTGGGGATGTGAGAGAAGGTGCAAGAGTGAGGGTTTGGAGGTGAAGAGGGGCTCAGGGTGGGGGAATCCAACCAGCAAGGCTTTCTTTCCCCTTCCCCCTCAGCCGGGGGGGCTTTCTCCTCTACTTTGCCCCCTTCCCGAGCTGACAGGGGCTGTTTCTCTCCTAGCCCTCCCTCACCACCAGGGACCTTCTGTCTCCCCTCAGCCCTCCTCCCGGCCTTCAGGAGTCTTCGGTCTCCTCCCAGCCACCAAGGGCCTTTTCTCTCCCTCCTCTCTTTGGCACTGTGGCCAAGGTTCGAGGGGGGAAGGATTTGGGGCAGGGGGACTATTTATCTGGTGGCAGGCAAGATAGTGGAGTCCCAGCCTTACTGGCCAATCTGTTGATGGTACAGCTGCTCCCAGAGTCACTCTGCAATATAGTTCTCTCCTGCAGGCTCTGCCCCCATTAGCCACTCTTAGTATCACGTCCCTCCTCTCTGAGCACCTCCCTTTCCATTTAATGGAAAACAGTCCCATTCACAGCACTTCCCATTTTCTTGGCACAACCAAACCCTGCCCTTGCTGTAAGTTATGATAAAAGGAAGTGGCATACCAAATTTTGCAGACTGAAGGTCTTTTGCAAAGCAAGAAACTGTGTCTCAAATCCCTGGTTAGCTCTTAAAGTATGGAACCATCATATCATGCTTTTTATCTGTAAAGGCTACTATTGTATCTTTTAAAAGAGCTTTGAAAATAGAGGCACTATCATTTTCTCATTTTACAGATGGGAAAACTGAGGCACAGAGCAGTTTCATATGTAAGAAGCTATAAGCCTATTCCTGATACGCATAATGACTTTTTTTTAAACAAATAGTTAATTATTATGAAAGATGGCAAAACAAAGCTGTATTCAGGTTGAACCTCTCTAGTCTCTCATGCTTCTGACCTGACAGAGCCAAATCAGAGTATTTGCCAATCCACAGGAAGTCAATATTGCAGCAAGTGAGTCTCTTTTTATTTTTATTTCACTGAGACGAATAAATGGAAAAATGGTCACAATGCTGCTCAATAACATATGAATGTACAGATATACCCTATATAAGCCTATAACTAGCCAAGGCTTATCAGCCCGCTTCATAACAAAGTATTAGTGTTGTTATACAATTTTATTGTATGGGCACAAGAAGTAGATAAAGTGCATAAAACATAAAAACCATGCTTATGCTTAGCGACATTACCAACACTTCCACGCTTGCTGGGCTCTTAGAAGACATTTACGGGTAAATTAGAGCTTTTAGAACATTTAGAGGTAAATTAGGGGTAATAACAGCACAGAACACTGAGCGTATGTCTAAACTACATGGCTCTGTCGACAAAGCCATGTAGATTTGCTTGTTCGGCAAAGGGAAATGAAGCCGCGATTTAAATAATCGCGGCTTCATTTAAATTTAAATGGCTGCCGCGCTGAGCCGACAAACAGCTGATCAGCTGTTTGTCGGCTCAGTGCTCTAGTCTGGATGCTCCCGCGCCGACATGAAAGCCCTTTATCGACCTTCCCGGTAAACCTCATCCTACGAGGCATAACGGGATGGTCAATAAACGGCTTTCAGGTCGGCGTGGGAGCGTCCAGACTAGTGCGCTGAGCCAACAAACAGCTGATTAGCTGTTTGTCAGCTCAGCGTGGCAGCCATTTAAATTTAAATGAAGCCGCGATTATTTAAATCGCGGCTTCATTTCCCTTTGCCGATCAGCCTAATCTACATGGCTCCATCGATGGAGCCATGTAGTTTAGACACACCATGAGAGACAGGACTGGCGGCGGTAAAGAAAATATATGGAACGAAGGGAAACTTGGCCACACCCAAGAGGACAGACAGCTAGCTAAAAATCATGCTGAACCATTGATGTTGCCAGACCAGAGAATGCCAGACTAGAAAGATTCAACCGATACTATCATATTATAACAAATAATAGATTAAGTATAATCATATGCTGAAGCTTGAAGTAAAATAGTTCCCTAGCAATACTACAAGAGATGTAACAAACTTCAGAAGGTGGATACTTAAGTACCAAGGATGATTGTGTTTGTTTATGTGTTTCCATCATGTATACAGTTGTTTAGTGAATGATTCATTATAGCCAGGCTTTTCTCCCCCTCCCCTCCCAGTTCCTCAGGAATAAGTTAGTTGAGAAACATATAGTATGGGTGTAAGAACTCTAGAGTACTGATGAGTTGAGAAGATTATTTTGTGAACACTGGTTTCTAGTGCTTAAAAGACTGCAAATGTTACACTCATCATCACAATAGCTAATCATATAGCACATAGAATTTATTAGTGGTGGTGTCTGATCTGCATACTAACAAATACTTTAGGGTCTGATTGTGGTTTTACCCTAACCAATCAACCAGAGGCATAAAGGAGAATCAGACACCTCGCATACACCTGCATGGCCTTTTCACATTTCCCCTGCAGGTGTCGGGGGAGAGAGGAAACAGGCTCCCCCACGGCGGCCTGGCTGAGTGGTGCAGAAGTCAGCCGAGTGCCACGGTGGGAGGTGAAGGGAAGCGGGGCGGTGACGTGCGGCATGACAGTGACTCCAGGCCCCACCCCCTGGCCGTGAACATCATCGCCCCACCCCCCCTTTGCCTCCCGCCGAGGCGCTTGACTGACTTCTGCGCCACTCAGCCAGGCCGCAGCGTGGGAGCAAGTGACCGTTTGGGCTCCGTGCCCCCCTGGCAGCACGGGGAGTGCGGAGCCCAAAAGGCCATTTGGGCTCCGTGGTCCCCCGAGTGAGAGGCAGGAGGGGGAGGAGAAGTGAAAGAGACGGAGAGAGAGGCAGGAGGTGGAGGAGAGCTGAGAGAGAGGGGGAGGAAGGAGGAGGAGGAGGAGAGAGACGGAATGAGAGACTGGAAGCTCAGGAGAGAAGACTGACGTGGAGGAGAGACCTGAAAATCCCGTCTTATGACGGGCTAATTGGCTAGTTAATTAATAACAATTCAAACTTTAGCTCACTTTCTCAGCTCGAGCCACTTCACACTTGATTAAGGATTCATCCATCTCTTTAATCCACTGCCTTCTATACAAGGATTCCTGAGAGATGACATCCCATAACTCTCCAAAACTCTGTAAGAAAAATGTAAATATCAGACCCATTGAAAAAATTAAAAATAAATGGACATTACACATACAGATGACAGGCAAAGAAAAAAGGAGAGACAAGGGCTTGAGCTAGAGAACTAGATCAAATCAAATACACTCCCTTACTTCAATTGAAAAGGCTTCCAGATCAGTGTCATTTTCAATCTTTTTGAATAGAAGTTCAATTGTTCTATCAGATTCTGACAGTTTTGTCAAAAGCAACTTTCCAGGCTCCAAAATGAATGGTTCCATTTCCTAAAACAGGGAGGTATGCCAGTTAGATATTGGATATTCGGCCTTGATGCTTACATAACACTCCAGACTTCTTAGCGACTCACCCTCCCAATGCAGGCTAACTCCTGCTGTAGCCTAGCTGTGGCTTCATTATGACGGCCTCGTCTGCGCTCTGAGATACGTTCAATGATATTGCTGTTTGTCCTTTCTGGAACTGCCAAAGAAGAAAATAAAGATGGTGCAGACCGGATGTGATACTGCAGAATGTGTAAGGTAGCCACCATCACATTACTAAATCTACGCTAAGATCTCTGGTTTTTGCCCA